TGATACCCTGTTCTGACCTTTATGCCACTTTCACCTCATCTGGATTACTATAGCTTTGTAATAGTCCCCTTCTGCATATTAGTAATTGTAGAACCTTCAGTTTTGCTCTTTTATTTCAAAATTGCCTGAGCCACTGAGTCTTTTACACTTCCATATAATTATAGAATTACTCATTTCTTTGTCAAACAGACTCTGAGGATTTTAATTGGAATTATCTCATATGTAAAGATCAGTTCTGAAGAAATGACCTTTTTACAGTACTCACTCTTTCTTTTGCTTTTTTTTGGGGGGGGAGGTCACACCCTGTGATGCACAGGGGTTATTCTTGGCTCTGCACTCAAGAATTGCTCCTGGGGGTGCTCAGAGGACCATATGGGATGCTGGCAATCGAACCCCGGTCGACCATGTGCAAGGCAAACACCCTACCCGCTGTGCTATCACTCCAGCCCCAGTACTCAGTCTTTCAAACCATTATGTGAGTAGATTAACTTGTAGCAATTTACCACAATAAAGCTAACTGGATGGGCACTTTCAACCTCCATCCAAAGAGGATCTTGCGAAGAGAATGAAACAGACATATATTTAAGGAAATAAAGAAGGATATAAGGACTGTCCAAGCTTTCTGATCACCAGGGCAGCCCTGAGTGAGCTCACAGGCTACCCATTTATTCAGTAATATATCAGTCCCCCAGCATAGCTCCCAATAGGTGAGTCACTGTTTGAGTTAACAGAGACAATAAGGACACATCAACATTTTTTGGGTACATTAAAAGCAGAGACTGGGATATTTATATAACCATAACTCAAGTATAAAGTCATGAACATTTCCTTCTCTATTTTTGTTGCCCTCTACATTACCTGTTTAATTCTGTCCTCTCCTAGATGTGCTTTTACTGCCTATGGGCATATATTTGCCTGCTAGATTCTAAGTCCTAGTCCCCAGAGAACTATCCTCACTTTGGGGTATTTTGTTTGGGAAACGATCTTCCACATTATCTCGTATTTTGTTGTTATAGGTCTTGATTTGTAGTTTTCCATGTCCAGAGTCTGCACATAACTTTTCTCAGACTTATATTAACCTTTTATGCTACTGAAAACAGTATGCAAAAATTTCAATTTCAGTCCAGAAATAGTAACGCACTTATCTTGGACACAATCAAGTCATGCTCAATCTCTGACACCCCGTATGTTCCCAGGGCCTGCCAGGAATGATCTCTGCACACAGCCAGAAAAAGTCCTGAGCACTGCGGGTGTGGCCCCAAACAACTCATCGCCCCCCCCCTCCACTTGATCACTTGACTTCCCGTTAATCATCGATTTGCTCGAGCGGGCATCAGTAACATCTTCATTTGTCCCTGTCGCATGCTAGTGTAGCCCAAGGGTGTCTGTTCGCTCTAGGAACATGAAGAGCCTCAAACCCATCGTTCATGATCTTGATGAAGAAATCTGACCATCTGGTAGGTGAGCGGCCACGCGGTCTTTTGACATTCCATGGAATCCAGTCAGTAACAGCTCTAGTCCAGCGGTCGTCTTTAAATCTCATTACGTGACCAGCCCATCTGATTTTTGACACCTTGGCAAACGAGACAGCGTCCCTGATTCTTGATCATCGACGGATGTCGGAACTCCGGATTCTTTCTCTCATTTGAGTGAAACGTGATATTCTAAGCATAGCTCTTTCAATTCCTTTCAATCCCCCCCCCCATTTCCAATAATTTACTGATGATGTACACAAATTATTTTAGTAGCATTTTCTTAGATTCTTACTCCTTTTCCAGGTATATGCTATCTTAAATGTTTATTTCCGACTTCTGTTTTTCTCCTTTGATCAGTGTGTTATTCTGCATGCACAGGCATTATCTCTAGACCAATATTTGATAGAAGTGATATACATTTTTCTTCTTGATCTTTAACTGAGAGGAAGGAAAGTATTCATTCACTATTATGTTGTTAAGGGAAAGTTTCTTTATTCTTTTTTTTTCCCCTTTTTTAGTCACACCCAGCAATGCTCAGGGATTACGCCTGGCAGTGCTCAGGAGACCATATGGGATGCCGGGGATCAAACCAGGGTCGGCCACCCCAGCAAGTGATGCCGGGGATCAAACCAGGGTCGGCCACCCCAGCAAGCTACCGAGAGTATTTGATATGCCAGACACAGTAACAACAAAAGTCTCCAATGGAGACGTTACTGGGCCCGCTCGAGCTCGAGGGTTGGCCACTTGCAAGGTAAATGCCCTACCCACTGTGCTATCGCTCTGGCCCCAGGGCAAGTTTCTTTAGGAGATGCCCTTTGAAATTATGCAAATTCTTATGTCTTCTTAATTATTATTATTTTTTTTTTTTGCTTTTTGGGTCACACCTGGTGATGCTCAGGGGTTACTCCTGGCTCTGCACTCAGAAATTACTCTTGGCAGTGCTCAGGGGACCATATGGGATGCTGGGATTCGAACCCGGGTTGGCCACATGCAAGGCAAACTATTGCTATCGCTCCAGCCCCTTTTTACTTATTTTAAATCACACACGAGAGCTGAAGTTTGTGGAACGTTTTTTAACCTTTTTGGGTCACACCTGGCATTGCACAGGGGTTACTCCTGGCTCATGCACTCAGGAATTACTCCTAGCGATGCTTGGGGGACCATATGGGATGCTGGGAATCGAACCCGGGTAGGCGACGCGCAAGGCAAATGCCCTACCCGCTGTGCTATTGCTCCAGCCCCAGTTTTTACACTGTTAGGTGATTTCTGAATATTTAATCAACCTTGTATTCTTGAGAAATACTCAACTACATCTTTACTATTATCCTTACATCATGTTTTGCATATTTGATTTGCATTGTTAATCTTATTTTTTTAACTTTTTTTTTTATTATTCGTGAATCACCGTGGGGTAAAGTTACAGACTTACAAACTTTTGTGCTTGCGTTTCAGTCATAAAATGGTCCAGTATCCATCCTTCCACCAGTCCCCATTTTCCACTACCAATGGTCCCAGCATCCCTCCCACCACCCTGACCCCGTCGTCCCTTCCACTCCACCCTCCCTTTTGTTCTCTCCATTTAGGTGTTGTGGTTTGCAGTAGAGGTATTAAGTGGCCATCATGTTCGGTCGATCTCTTGTTAAGGAATGTCTGTTTTCCAAAGGCATGTATTAGCAACTTTTTCTGGCCTTAAGTTAGTTTTTTTAAATGTGCTTCGATTTTTATCTATTTTCTATGCGTGTGTATCTGAGGTTATTTCTTCTATGTTTACTATATTTCACATTTAAGCCTGGTATTTTGAAAGCTCTTTTTGTCACTACAAATTTCATTTGCTCTCATTTTGAGTTAAGTTTTCGTAGTGTCTTTTGAGGAATTTTCCCATTTCTTGGAGTTGTCATATTGCCATATAGTTTTACATATTTTCAAAAACTCAGGTATGTAGAAGTATATACCTTTATTCTAATTTCAGTCTACCTCAACATTTCCAATATTGCCTTCTGTGAGCCTTTTGGTTCAGATGTTTCCCTACTTGGTTTTTCTTTGATGATTTCAGCATGAATACTTTTTCTAATCTTTTTTTAAATTTTTAATCTGAGATCAGTGATTTTCCTTTCTTCTAATGTAACCATTTAAAGCTACTAATTTCTATCATTGGTTGAGCTGCATCCCACAAATTTTAGTATTTTCCTTTTCACTCAGTAAAAATACTAATTTTACTTGTATTTTTTGACTCACGTGTTACTTGCAAATACATTAATAACTTCTAAATACTGGGGCGAAGGGCGTGTCCAATTTTATTTCATTGTCATAAGAGAACATAATGTGCTCATTTGATATTCAGTATCTACTTTTTTGAGTGTTTCATGTGTACTTAGAAAGGAAATGTGTATTCCTGTTGCTAAAAATGCCAATTAGATCAAGTTGTGTTCATTTTTGTTCAAGTTGTATCCTGATTTCGACTGGTTCTCTCAATCTAAAGGATGCTTGAGAGGCTGGTGAAATAGGACAGGAGGTAAGGCACTTGGCTTTGTATGTAGTTGACCTGGCACTGTATGTGGTCTACCCGTAATAATCTTTGAGCCCTACCAGTAATAATCTCTGAGTACACAACCAGGAATAAGACCTGAGTCCCAGTAGCAATGGGGTGTAGCCCTCAAACAAATAAAAAGGTGGGCGGAAGGGCAGAAGGTCGAAACCATCAATGACAATTTTAGGTTTATTTTCTACTCAATATTAGCACTTGCTTCATGCATTTTCACACTATACAATCTGTGTATCTTAAAATTGCAATTTACTTTTATATTTTTTGTGGACTAAAGATGAACGACAAAGCAAAAAGGAGGATGATATTCTCTTGGATAGTAAAATAAAAATGGAAAAAATAAAAATTACATAATATTTCCAAATGTTAAAGGTAGAGCTTGTTCACATACTTTTAATAGGGGACACACTTGGCAATGCTCAGGCGCCGAACAAAGCTGTGCTGGGGATCATATTCAGGGCCTCGTACTAGCTAGACATGTGTTCTTAGACCTGAACTGTTTCTGTGCACCCTGCTTGTATCTATTTACGGAGCGATAGCACAGCGGGTAGGGCGTTTGACTTGCATGCGGCCAACCTGTCCGACCCAGGTTCGATTCCTCTGCCCCTCTCAGAGAGCCCGGCAACTATCAAGAGTATCTCGCCTGCACGTGACATATTCAATATGCCAAACACAATAACAAGTGTCACAATGGAGACGTTACTGGGCCCGCCCGAGCAAATTGATGAATAACGAGAGGACAGTGACAGTGACACTTTATGGTGCCAAGGATCAAGCACAGGGACTCACAGTGCATAAATTTTTAAAATAGATGCTAAGTACCCAAACTGTATTGATCCTAATGCATACACTTAAAAATGGTATGGGAACATATTTTTGGTGGTAAACTTTAATGTATTATACCCATTTTTAATAATGCATATCTGAACTTGTTAAAATGCAATGTTATTTCTATTTTTAAAGGATTGAAAGAAAAATAAAAATGATTAAAAATAAATTTTAATATGCCAATATTTACAAACTGGAAGTCACATCCTTTGAAGTTTAGATTTATGATAAACAAATTTGAATGGAAAAATCAAAATCTCATTGACATAGCAGTGTCAATTTGTGTGCACATTTATGTTGGCTTTTTTCAACCATCCCTTATTCTTCTCCTATACTTCAACTCCCTTTGATGATCTCTATTTAAATACATCTGAATTTTATCTCCAGTACAAAAAGCAGGAGTACCAAAAGATAAGAGATACTAAGAGTGCATTACATTTTTTCAAAATTCCTATGAAGAGGTCGCTGACAGAAAATATTTGAAGACCACTATTTTAATTAAGATACCAAATCTGTTTTCCCCAAGCCCTTTAACATTTAATCATCTTTATTTTCTTTTCTCTCTTTGGTTCCTTGTATTCTCTGATATCACCCATCTCATGGGAAAATTAATCTTACCATTAATTCCATATCGTCACATAAGTTAATGGCTGACACACACAGATAACATTCAACATGTCTACTACATTTAATTTTCAACTTACAATTATGAACACTTTTGAGGCACTTCATTTCATTCTCAAAACAAGACCTAAACCAGGTATTATTTCCATTTTATGGATAAAGAAACCAACGCTAAGAGATTACTACTAGTGATTTGCCAGACTGAAAATTTGAGCAGAGGATTACAAAGCATGCCTGGTCCACCACACAACTTAGTATTCAATGATACAATTTCTCCATAGTTGTGTACAATATAGGATAGTGTAAAATCCCTCATTAAGGGTCTGTGTCTCTAGGCATAGGAAGAAACTATAATAATAATAATAATTTTAAAAGTTCATATAATTTTCCATGTTTGTAGAGACAAAATAAATGAGATTTTAGGAGAGAAAAATGACAGGAAGACACAAGATGTGAATTGTGAAGACACAATTACAATCTAACACTGTATTTAAATAAACTTGAAAATTTTTTACAGGGAAGCCCAAATGATTGATATCACACAGATTTGATTTGCTTTCAAACAGGGGAGCTACTAGTGGTTTCAGAGAAGAAATCTGAATTAACAATGGATCATTAAAGCAAAGGAAAGAAAATGAGTCTGAATTAGCACAGGCTTTGAATCTTAAATCTGCCACTTAAATATTATCTAGCACTTGAACGTGACTGTTTTACCTATTTTTATCAAAGAATGCAATTAGATATTATAGGTAATATGTACATTACTGATAGAATAGGGACTGAAGAAGCATTAATCCTCTAGCCTGGAAATGACATTTCGATAAATTAGAATGAAAACAAAGTTAAATTTTCTGAGAACAGTAGTTGAATTTCCATGACCTTTTTTATGCAAAATAGTGGACTACAATAAATAGTAAAACTGAGGAGGAGGAAGATGACACCATTCATTCTGAAGAAGCAGCAGATACAGATGAGATGGATATAGGTAGGACACATATTACAAGCTGGGACAGTTCAGAAAATGTTCTTAGCAGAATGGAGCTGCTACCAATTCCAGTTGATTGAAGGGAAATGGCGTGCTTCCTTTTGAACATGTGGAATATGAACATCTGAGAGAAAAATAAGTGCATGGAAGTAAGATGAGTGTTGGGAATATGGCCAGAATTTGAATTTATGAGAATAGTCACATTTAAAAGAAAATAATAAATTAGTTTTAAGTCAGTAGGACCACACAAAAATATGAAAAAGTACAAATCATGTTTTTCAGTAAAATGCTAAGAAGGGCCCATCCCCACCAATCCTCTGTTATGTCTGGGTAGCAGTGAAAAGTTCTTTTGTTCAAGAAACACCCTCTCTATTATCACTACATATATATATATATACAGATATATATATATATATATGTGTGTGTGTATCTATGTATAGTGTGTGTATGTGTATATGTATATACATATATGCATGTATATACATCGTTTTTTAATTTTAAAGTAAATCCAAGTGAAAAGATCAACTCATCTAAAATCTCACAATGAACCCTTTTCTCAAAATGAACTCACTGTCTTAAACAAGGGAAGGTTTAGTCCATCAGTTGCTAAAATAACTGGTTGTTGCTATACTCTGTACTAAAATGGATAACATGATATAGAACTGATTTTAGAATAAAAATCAAGACTTCCAATTAATATACATAAAATCAGAGCAAACAGTTCAATAATCTAATTCTTAACAAGATTCCAGTTTGCCTGCTTCTAATAAAGTTATTTACTTGAATGGCACAATAATGACAAATGTACAATACTTTAAAATGGTCACCAGGGACTGAAAAGACGGGTGTTTTTTGGGACAAAAGGTTTTCCGTGCATGTGACAAGAATTTAGGCAACAATAACTATTCAAAATTTGCTTACTTCTGACAAAAAGATACAACTTAAATGTTTTGAATTGACAATGAAGAAATCAGAGCTACTGTTTTAAAACACAAAAGATGCAGTACCAATCCTGAAATGTACACATTAGCAAATTTACTCCACACATGAAATATAGGCACTATTTTCTACCTTTAATATGCAAATATAAGCAATTATTTCATATTATTTCTACTAAAGCTTTTCATGTCTTGATAAGACCTCTGACAAAGTTCACTAGCAAATATACAGGACTGTATTTAATGTCTGTTCATCTTTGGCACATTTGTCAAGTCGAAGAATCTCAAAAGGCAATAAAAAATTTGTAGTGACTGTTTAGTACAATCTTTTAATTACCTTTACATCAAAATATAAGGCCGCAAAAAGGCAAACTGAAGTTGCAGGATATATGGAATAGTTTTAATAAAGAGTTTTACATACAGTACCTTACATATAGAACAGTGTGTTTGCAAATTTAAATAATATCTGAATGTACAATGGCATGTATTCTTATCAAAGATAAATTCAAGTTTACTGTGTATCAGTTCTAAAATTCATTTATACAGATTGCTAGAACTGATAAACAGAATGAGGCATAAAATATTCAAGTGTTACATGTCACCAAATAGCCTCAACTGTCTTTTTTCCCCTTTTTAAAAAAGTTTCAAAACCTGTACATACATTTTTTTAAAAATTTTAAAAACAGTCTGTTAAAAGGTAACATTTCATGTTGACCACCAATTCTTATAGACTATAGTATTAAAACTAGATATGTGTAGATATAAATATGTGTCGATTATGTACATATACACGTTGAGTGTTTGTTTCAAACAAGTATACACTCTTACGCATACCTGCGTATGTAGCACTGGGGACCGCACACAACTCATAAGAGCACTGGCAGACAGGAGGACCTAGGCTCAAAATCCAGCAAGAGCTAACAAAGCAACTTGGTTGCCTTTGGTTTCAGGAGTTTGTCCACTTGTGATCAAAGGTACAAGTTTTGAGCGCACATGTATTTTTTAAAAATAAAATTCATCTTCAGAAATGAAGCTTTTCCAGTATTCCGCTACAGCAGTTAAAAATTCCACAACCACATATTATTTTTGATTTTTTTGTCACTCCTCATCCCAGCTGAGGCTATTTAAAGTTTTATTTTTTTCCTGAAGGCAAACACCAAAGCATACTCAGGATCAAACTATATGTTGAAGCCTGAATACTGCAATGCAACTATATATGTAACATATATAGTCTTTATGTCTGAGATACACGTTTGTGATAGACTGATGGCCTTATGTAAGACTTGGGGTGGGAGAAATCCCACAGTTTAGAAAATCCTTTTTCCAGCAGTAACATCATTTGGCACAGTGACCCTTCTGCAAGCTATTTTGTTTTTAGTGAGCCTAATGCTTGCAATAAAATCCAATTATTTGGTGTCTTTTTAAAATAATTCATAATAAAGTAAGAATCCACAATTGTTTTCTCCAGAAGTGAGGCTTCTACTGTCGGGCTTCTGATTCAGTACATTCATCATCTATGAAACAGCTCATGATCCTTTAAGTTGAATATCCCATATTTTGGTGCAGCTGGATTAACTGCAGAGAAGACAGTTCTTACAACAACCTTACAGAACTCTCCAGAAATTTAATTTTCCTCTACAATTCTGCTGGCCAAACGCTCTTTCACCTAGAAGCTATATAAATACCATATTTCACTCTACAGGTATCCCGAGTGTCATGTAAGCAGCTACTCAAAAATCCTGCTAACTCGATTTCCTTATATTCTACTTCATTGATCCTTAGCACATAACACATCATCATTTGCAGTTTGCTCATACAGATTTTTTTTATATGAACTTGCTCCTTGATGAAGTAGTTCTACATCTTGCTTTTGAGGGTGCCACCAATACTGATGTCACAGCTAAATAACAAAGATGGCCAGGCTTTGACTTAATTATCCACTATTACGTGGGTAGAAAAAAATTACTTGAAGAAAGCCATGCCTTTCTCCCTTCCATCTGATTTTCACTGTTGTCATACAGAGCAAAGTGTTGCTATTTGTTGAACTTTGCCCATATCAATGAGGAGCTGTTTGATGTGGCGTTTAAGCTGGGGCAGTCTTGCTAGAGGATCAGGTGGTTCCAACTCCCCTGTGAAATCAAGCCAGCTTTCCAGAACTAAAAGAGAGATGAGGGCATATAAATTAGATGGTAACTGAAAGAAGAGTTAAACAATGATAGTATTAAAAGGCTGAAAAAGTAAGGGAGACAAAGGTCTATGCTATCTTTTCTCTGGAAGGTCAACAGCTTTGAACTCCTCTCTGAGCAAACAGGAGACACTATCTGTGATACTTTAAGCTAATTCCCCCCATCATTCCTCTATACAAAACAGCTTCATTTTGAGTGTTTTCTCTTTCTACTTTCTTCTAAAATTGGAAATAATACTTTCCCAATCAAGCTTTCTACTAACTTTGGCTTAAATCCTCTTGACTTTAAATAAAATATAGGTAAAAGGTAAAGGTAAAGGCCCTCCCGTTGATCGTCGATTTGCTTGAGCGGGCCCAGTAACGTCTCCATTGGAGACTTTGTTGTTACTTTGTTTGGCATATCGAATATTCTCGGTAGCTTGCCAGCCTCTCCAAGAGGGGTGGAGGAATCGAACTCGGGTCGGCCATGTTGACCGCTTGTAAGGCGAATGCCCTACCCGCTGTGCTATGTTACTACATTTGATTCTTTTAAATGCCAAACTTTTTTCTAACACATGAGGAGAAAATTTTTTACCATCTTTTACCATTACATTATTTTATCATTACTTATAATATGTAAACATATTAAAAATGGTATGAATGCAATTATGTTCTATACTTTTTAATGAGTGACAATGGACTAATAATTCTAATAGGGTTAAGATTAAAAGACCACAACAGCCACTGTTTTAAATATAGTATAAAGGAAGGAATAGAGTCCCAACAGTATGAAGAGCATGTATAGTTTTCTATGTCATCATTTAAAAAAGGTTTTCACTAAAAAATATTAAAAGTCATCAAAATCTTATTTCACTAAAACATAAAATGCACTTTTCATCCTATAGTAACTGTACTTGATTCTTTCACAAATTACCATCAACTTCTTTTTCTATGAGGTCCATCCTGCTAGTAACTTCATTCTGCACATTCTCTATGTGTGTAAGGAGATTGAGCTGCCACTGAAGATGTGCATCTCCTGGGTCTTCGGTGCTCTTTTTATCACTGTAGACAAACACTGTCTTCTTTTCAGCTGGGGTCTTCTCCAAAGAACCATTGAGAAAAGAAGATTTGGATGAAATGTAACAACACAAAGGAAGACATATTAAAATCCTCATCATCCACAATTATTAGTGAAATCCAAACTGAGTCCCACAATGTGCCAGCACTTTCTTAAAGTGATCAAATTAAATCTGAGGATGCTTCAAAGCAGTCTCAGCCACTATGTCCACAATATCTAGCATAGAGCTATCCATAAAAAACAGCACTCAAATAAATCATGCTACCAAAACTGCTTTATTTTGTCAAAATATATAGTTAATATTAGACTGATTCCTCTCTCAATCTATATCAATGACATAAATAGGGTAAAGGCAAAAAGCAACAGTGGAAATAGTAAGAAAGTAAGCAAAAATAGCATATAGCATTAATTAACCGTAAATGAAATTTTACTATTGTAGTAAGATCATCAAGGAGAGGAAAAGCTAAAAATATTTTAAAATCTTAAGAAGTACAGACTGTGTAACATACAAAATGTGAACTTGGGTTAACAAAAAATAACCTTTTTCATAATACGGATAAATATGGAAAAAAATTGACCATAAACTTTATTAAATACAAGCTTCCCAAATTCAGTTAAATATTTACAATGGTTACATGATAAAGGGGGCTGGAGCGAAAACAGAGGGTAGGGCGTTTGCCTTGCACACAGCCGACCCTGGTTCTATTCCTCTGTCCGTCTTGGAAAGACCAGCAAGCCACGGAGATTATCCCTTCCACACAGCAGAGCCTGGCAAGCTACCATGACGTATTCAATATGCTAAAAACAGTAACCACAAGTCTCACAATGGAGACATTACTAGTGCCCGCTCGAGCAAATCGATGAACAATGGGAGGACAGTGCTACAGTGCTACATGATAAAGGAGTTCAGAAAAATAAAGAACTCATTTTATTTTCTCATCTTATTCTGAAGTGCAGGAGATCAAAGCCAGATCTTCTATATAAAAGGCATGCACATAAAACTTAACCATGTTCCTAACGCCTAACATCAAAGTGGCATTACCAGGATCAGAGTAAGGTAAGGTGCTTGCCTTACATGTAGTTAAGCACAAGGCCAGTAGTAAGCCTGAGCACAGCTGAGGGGCTCCAATTCCCCCAATTCGGCCCCCCCCCATAAAAAAAGCAGCATTTCAAACTAAATGCAATAATTTTCCCCCAAATATTTTTTTTAAAAAAAGGAAGTATAACGACTCTAAGGTAATCCCAGTGAACCTGAAATGTATATAAACATCCAATGTATACAGAACTGTTTACTACATAATGAGATTGATAATACATTCATACACATGCTAAATGTTTAAAAAAAATTTTTTAAGTGCCTCCTTCATCTGAAACACATAATCAAAGGAAGACAAACTTTTATTAATGGTTGTATTCATATACATATATGACCATAAGGACTTTGATGTTCTCACATACAGACCTTTTCATATACTATAAAAGCTGGCACGTTTTGTGGAGATCTCTTAAGTGTGCTTAAAAAATTGAAACTCTGGGGCCCAGAGATAGTACTCTGGGTTAGGCACTTGTCAAGAAGGGGCAATCAGGGTTCTAGCTCCAGCACTAAGTTGGTCACCTGGGCACTGCCAGGAGTGATCCCTAAGCACAAGGTCAGGAGTAAGCCAGAAGCATTACCAGGTGTTACCCAAAAACAAAAGAAATTGAAACTCTTGTCAGAGAAAAAGTTCACTGATTATCACAGTCCTGAATTAGAAGAGAATTAAGTATGCCAGTGATTTCTTGTAGAGAAATCAAAATATGTCCTTGTTCTAATAAGGCATTATTATGAAACTGAAAATGTAACCAAAATTTAAGGTTTCAATATGTTTTACATTATTAAAATTTCCTTTGTTGCTCTAGCACTAAACAAGACTAGCTATACCTTTTGGGACATTCCATCATCTTTTCCTGAGTGCTGTACACGGTTTTTATCTCTTATGTAGAATTCTTGTTCTTCTTCAAAACTACTAACATCATCATCTGAACTCCCTGGGTCTGCAAGAGATTTGCAGTCTTGACCAAAGTTTTGTGGCTTCTGGTAGCTGTGCTCACTTGTTATGTAAGTTCCTTCCATTTTTAGAGGCAAATGAGATGGTTCTTTATGGTTTTGTACGTGATGTTTCTTTCCTTCTAAGTTAACCATGTCTTGCACTGTTATTTTTTTCTCGACTCCAGCAATTACTTGATCGTGGTCTAATCGTTTCCCAGAACATGCCCAGAGACGAAGGTCAGGATGATATTTATTCCTTAAAAAAAAGTCGGGAGAGATGGGAGGTGGGAAGTGGAATTGTGAATTGGGAGGGAGGGGAGGCAGGAGGAACATCCATTAACAAGGTTAATATCATAATACAATTTAGATAGTTAACTCTTGGTTATCTATGCTCATTTGGGTGACCTTAACCCAAATTCTACTAAAGACTGGTCACTGTCCTCCTGTTGTTTGTCGGCCATGTTGGCAGCTTGCAAGACAAATGCCTTTCCTGCTGTGCTATCACTCCAGCCCATTAAACTACCACATAAGGGAATCAAGTTAAGAGGGAGTCACAGACTTAAGTCAAAGGAAAAAGGTATTTTTTAGGTTAATTTGCACCACAATTTAAAATTCTCACCATTTTATAAAAACAGTACTCAAATGGCAGGGTGATAATGAATTCAATTCAATTGACTTCTCACACCATAATCTTATCTAGACACTGCTTCTTCTAGATTTTTCATTGTAATTTCTTGATATGAAACACTTTTAAGTATATTTAAAAAAGCTTTGTTCAATCAAAAGTAGTACTTATAAAAAGCAACTAACGGATGGGAGAGATCATACAGCAGCACTTGATTTGCATGTGACCAACCCAGCTTGATCCCAGGTATCATATATGAACCCCACTAGGAGTGATCCCTAGGCACAGAGCCAGGAATATGCTCCGAGTACCGCTGTGTGTGCTCCAAAAATCAAAATAAATTTCATAATCAAAGGAAGACAAACTTTTATTAATGGTTGTATTCATATACATATATGACCATAAGGACTTTGATGTTCTCACACACAGACCTTTTCATATACTATAAAAGCAGTCTCATGTTATGTTGTTTTATACTCCACAAATGAGTGTCATCCTTCTATGTCTATCATATTCTTTCTGACTCATTTCACTTAGCATGATACTCTCCATGTCTATCCATTTATAGACATTTTTTTACAAAAAAAAAGTGATAGTTGTTTTATAAGCAAAGTTCACGACTTCATTTCTCCTGACAGCTGCAATAGTATTCCATTGTGTAGATATAGATATCTGTGACATATGAAACCTTCGTAAGGCTCAAAATGAAGGCATATTAACAATTTTCAAGTTAGATAAAAACTGGAATAAAATTTGTCTTCTACTAAGTATTGTTTTTGAAATTACAAATTGTATCATTTGGACCACAAATAGTAGGATTTCATCATTAGTAATCACTGTCACTGTCCTCTTGTTGTTCACTGATTTGCTCGAGCGGGCCCAGTAACATCTCCATTGGAGACTTTGTTGTTACTGTGCTTGGCATATCGAATACATCACGGGTAGCTTGCCAGGCTCTGCCATGCAAGCGAGATACTCTTGGTAGCTTGCCGGGCTCTCCGAGAGGGGCGGAGGAATCAAACTCGGATCGGCCATGTTGGCTGTGTGCAAGGCAAACGCCCTACCGCTGTGCTATCGCTCCAGTCCATCATCAGTAAAACAACAGTTTTTTTTTTAAAAGCTGGTTTTATAGTGCAAGATACTTAATTAAATCCTTTTAAGCATTGAAGAGTTTATTTGGCAGGAGGAGGGGCCGGCACTATGGGTGCACAACCAGGTATGCTCAACTCTTAATCTTGGCTCTATGCTCAAAGACCACTCCTCACGGGATTTGGGGACAATATGCAGTACTAGTACTATTGACCAAACTCAAGTCAACTTCAAGAAAACTTAATGCCCTACCTACAATATTCTCTCTTGCCCTATGACTGGAATTTAATTACATGACCTCTACCACTGAGTATCCAGCTATCAAACAAAGAAAGATGAATTTTCAAACTTATTATTATAAGAATTAGATCAAAATATCTGGCACACAATAGACTTTTAATGTACAGCGATAATAATCATGATTATTATAAGAAAAATTACATGAGGGGAGATTATAGGCATGAGTGGATAAATGGTTCAGTTAATAAGCTTATCAAAATTACAGATGCAAAAAAGTTCATACTGATGTCAAGAATGAGAAACCATTTTAAATTTCTGTGTTTTGTGTCACACCTGGCAGTGTTCAGGATTTACTTCTGGCTCTGTGCTCAGGTTGGCTGGACTGAAAGGCCAAGTGCTTATACTATCCCTCAGGCCTGATACTAATTTCTTTCACTAAAGTAAGGTTGGTTTACAATATTGTTTTAAAAGGGATGGTTTCAGACCTCTTTAAGCGTGTTACCAAAAAATGCCTGACATTAAAGTGGCAGTATCCATCCAATCACTTGATGCCCTCCACTCTTTCAAACCCCTACTCTCAGACCATCTAGTAACCTGAGAAAAGCACAAGGGCTTATATTTGTTTTGGTGGATAAGAATGATTTGCTGAGTACTTATCACTAAATAGCAGCGGAAAGACTGAGTAAGAAATAACCCCTAACTTACAGGAAATCATAGTTTTAAGCGAAAAAAAGACCAAAAAATAAAAAATGGAGAAACAGAACACAACAAAGTGCCTGGGAACTGGAGACTGTACAGTGGTTAGGGTACATAATCTAGTATGTGCTTGACTTGCATTGGATCCTAATCTCCAACACCATATGGTTTCCCCCAGCACCACTGGATACGGCCCCCAAGCACTGCCTGTGTGACCTGATACCACTTGGGAGGCCTCCCCCAACCGTAAACCAAAAATATCATAGCAAGGCAGGTGGCAGCAGTAAACAGGGTTTGGCCAGGAAGAGAATGATTAACTCCAGTAAAACACGAAAACCTGAAAAGACATCACTTAAAGGATAAACAGTAGAAGCCATTCCTGGTGTGAATAGAGGAGCTGTAAAAAAGCATGCTTCATTCAGGGACTAAATTAAATTAGGGAAAAAATATGTGAAGGGAAAAAATTAGGAAAGGGCAGACATGGCAACAAAATGACAGGTGGACCACGAACCAGAGACAGGAAAAAAAAATATGTATGCTGATGAGCTCAGACCTTGTTCACTGGGCACCAAGGAGACTCTAGTGTATATAAGAGTACTCTGTGCACCAAGTGGATGATAGGAGGTGTGGGACGAGGATGGGAGGGGTAGGCTTCTGGTCCAATTAAGTGAATTTAAAAAATTAAAAACTAAAAACCTGCCATCTGGACAGGTGTGTGTGTGTGTGTGTGTGTGTGTGTGTGTGTGTGTGTTTAAAAGAATGCTATGTTACACTGTTTACAATAGCTAGAATCTGGAAAAAACCTGACTACCCGAGAACAGTTTCTTTAACTGGTTAAAGAAACTTTGATACATCTACACAATGGAGTACTATGTAGCTGTTAGAAAAGAGGAAGTCATGAAATTTACATACAAGTGGTACTACATGGAAAGTATCATGCTAAGTGAAATGAGACAGAGGGAGAGGGACAGAAATAGAAAGATTGCATTCATCTGGGGAACATAAAGTAACAAAATAGGATACTAACATCCAAGAATAGTTGAGATAAGTACCAGGAGGTTCACTCCATGGCTTGAAGGTCAGCCGCACATGCTAGGGGAAAAGGCAGCTCAGACAGCGAAGGGAACACCAAGGAACGGGTGTTGGGAGGATCCTCCCAGGAAGGGAGAAGCATGCTGAAAGTAGACTCTAGACCGAATATGATTGCCACTCAATGCCTCTTTTGAAAACCACAGCACCCAAAAGGAGAGAGAGAACAAAAGGGAATGCCCTGCCACAGAGGCAGGGTGGGATTGGGAGGTGGGGGGTGGGAGGGATACTGGAATCAGTGGTGGTAGAGAATGGGCACTGGTGGAGGGATGGGTACTCGATTGCTGTACAACTGAAACCCAAGCAGAAAGATTTGTAAATCTACAACTGTACCTCATGGTGTTTTCACTAATAAAAATTTTAAAAAATAAAAAAATTAAAAATTTAAAACATCAAAAAAATAAATAAATAAAAGAATGCTATCCCAGTATTAAGAGCCGAAATAAGAGCGTTCTGTGTAGGGAGGTTCAGGTTTGTCACTGCTAAGGGGAAATTAATCTGAATGACAAAAGGCACAGCACAGGGATGACTACTCTTGGCTGTTGGCTCCCTGAAATGCCATCTTTAGGCAATTTCAAAATACATTACTGAATCTATTTCATCTTGACAACATTTGAATTTTACTTTGTGTATATGGTGTGGGCACAAAACAGGGGGTCAGGGACTAAATGCTGAAATAACAATGACTGGACTTATGTTCAACCATGTTATATATAACAGGATGAAGTAGTTATTCATCAAATATTTACTGATTTCTCCTTTGTTAGAAGCTAAACATAAGCCAAATGATTTATCCTATACGAAAATTGATACGGAAGGGTTACCCACCCTTTGCCACCCTTCACTTACTTTAGTATTCCAATCTTCAGTTGTAACCCATGTAGTACTTCTGTAACACCATAGACATCGGCAAGTAAGTGATGTGTGGAAACTATCTTTTTGGCATTGAGATGAGAGTAATTTTCTTTTAAAAATGATAATCCGCACATTCTCCCATTATTCAACCACTCTTTATCATAACGATACTTTGCACTCCATCTCTGGCCTGTGGATAAAGTTGACATAAAAAAAAAACACACACATACACATTACAACATATTCCACCTATTAGACTTCTATTGAATAGAACCTAACATTACTCAATAAAGACTGCAAACTCTGGTTTAATAAAATCTTTAAGAGGAGGGGAAAGCTGTGGTCTGAAAACGGAACCTCTCAACGTTCCTCTGCACACCCAGATTTCCTGCTCACTCAGAAGAACAAATTCCCTTGCCGATGTAGCCGATAGCAAAGAGAACATGGAGTACACTAGATGTGTATTTGCCATCTGGACAGGTGACAATGGCTGAGGGAGCTGGATGGAACTAGATTTGGGTCTTTGTTTCTCTCACTAACCTTTGTTTTGAACTGGATAAATTAAAAATTCTGGTGAAGAGACTATAGAGATCCTTCTCTCATGCCTGAGATGCAGAAAATCTTTATATCTGATATAAGCAATATACCCCCCACCATGACAACAGTAATCCTGCCTTATTATGATTAGCATACTATGTATCTGTGTCCTCTATTATAATAAAAAATAAAGGAAGGTCTATTATTTGAGAATAGCAATTTGTCTTGGAAGCATAAACAATATTCAGAACTCTGCTACTTCGAGTGTCTAACAAGAAGAATGAAGTAGGTAGAAAACACAATGGATGAGGAATCCAAAGACATAGATTTTCATCTAGGCTCTGCCATGTCTAGTTCTATCCATGGGCACAAGGTATTCAATTTTCTACTCCCTAGTTGTTTCAGCCATAAAAGTGATCACACAGGATAATCTGAGATCCTATTCACTTCTAAAATTAGAAGGAAGACAGCTCCATTTGGATAGACATAATAAACCTATTTTGAAATCAATGCCCAGGAATATACCAAAGGGTTGCCCAGTGTGCTCCAGGAAAAGTACTACCTCCATCCTTCTTGTAAGATTCTGTTGATAACTTATACTATCACTTTAACCTACATAATATGGACAATAAAACTCTAACAGTAAAAGTACGCAAAAGCCAACATAGAAGGAGAGTCTCCGTGTGTCACACAGCTGAGACACGATGACTCAGACATGCTGCAGCGCACGCAGTGGTGAAGTCTTACCAGGAGGGTCTCGGCAGATGTAGCAGATGTACTGCTCGGGAATGCTCTCCTCCAGCAGCCCCATGCACACGCTGTGCTGCCAGCACAGGCACTCTTCACACTGGAAACAGAGGAGAGCCTAGAAGCAACCTTGGACTCGCTATAAAAACAGACCCCTTTCCTTTCAACAAGCTGGTTTCATTTCTCACCGCTTGCCACCACTCTTAGACCGCATATTTAAAGTAATGATTTTAGATCAACTTTTCTTTTTCCCTTTCTTCTTTAAGCTTTTCTGTTCAGCACTGTGCTTTACAGTGCTGTTAACAGCAGGGTTTCTTGCATGAATCATTCCAGCACCAGAACTTTCACCAGAGTATCCATTTCCCTCCACCACTGCCTCTATGTCCCCCAGTCTCATTCCCCCCCAAAGCCACTCACCCCCCAATGGCTTCCGACTGTAGATGACTTCTCAGTTTCTGCTGCCTTGGGGCATGTTATTCCTCTTACTATGTTTCCTTACATCCCACAAACATAATAGAGGAAAAACCCATTAAACAGCCAATTATTTCTTGCTGTACCTGTTTAAGTGTGCTTCAATAAATTAGCTATAGCAATAAATTAAATCACAAAAAAATTCTTAGAAACTTCTTCCCTCCTCTATTTCTCATTGATTTTTAGGTAACTATATCCTTAAAACTCTTTAAAATTGCCTTACAAATACAGAATTGTAGAAGTACAGAAATTGGAGGAAGCGGGGAGCAAGTTATAGCAGTGCTTATAGCAATGATCTCTGGTGAAGTTATAATTATAGAGTCCTAATTGCAAAAGCCACTGAAATATAAGTTATTCTTACCCATTTTCTTAAAAATATTCTTTTACAGAGAGAGGTTGCTTATAATTGTTAGCATTTACAACATTTAATCTCTGGAAATAGTGGAGAGTTTTATTTCAATATCAACCAATTAAGTGTGAGTATGTAATGTAAATTAGTAAACAACAGGAATCCTCAACAGTAAGACCCCTTCCATGTAAGCACTTACAAAACTTATTAAAAAGTAAAGTAAAGGCCCTCCCGTTGATCATCGATTTGCTCGAGTGGGCCCAGTAACGTCTCCATTGGAGACTTTGTTGTTACTGTCTGGCATATTGAATACGTCACGGGGAGCTTGCCAGGCTCTGCCGTGCGGGCGAGATACTCTCGGTAGCTTGCCGGGCTCTCCGAGAGGGGCGGAGGAATCGAACTCGGGTCAGCCATGTTTGCTGCGTGCAAGGCAAATGCCCTACCGCTGTGCTATCGCATTAGCTCTTGAAATGAGTTCTAGCTTGGGAGCCAAACAGAGAGAGCACAGTAGGCAGGGCACTTGCTTTGCATGCAGCCAACCTCAGTTGGAAACCTGGCACCCCACAGGGTCCCTTGAGCGCCACCAGAAATGATCCCTGAGAGGAGAGCTAAGATAAGCACTGAGTATCACCAGGTGTAGACCCAAAACAAAAACATTAAAAAAAATAAACATGATGATAAGTTAGAACCCCCCACCTTCAATTGGATCGTTAATAAACAGAAGCCAGATGGCTGTGCACCTGAAATGACTACCTTAATTTGGTACTACAGGCAATACAGGTTACCTGAATCATGAAGCCATTCTCCTCATCCATTTCACAAATGCATCGCACAATTTCATTAAGAGCATCATCTTCATCTTGAGATTCCTCAAAATTGGTAGAATCAAAGTCCTGATTGTATTCATCCCCACTCAGAAGTAAACTCTCTGTTGAAGAATCGTCTAGGAAATCCACATCTGATAGGTCTAGAATATACAAAAAGTATACTCAGCATATTTTTTCCATTTTTGTGTCATTTTCCAGAAAGAAAGAAGCTGCAGAAAGAGATTATACACTATGACAACTTTAGAAGGAGAAGGAAAACATGGAAATAAGTTGTCAGTTGACAAAAACAAATGATTATTAAAGCTTAATAATCATCAAATAACTATTAAAGCTTAATTAAAGATAAATGCTTTAAATCATCTTCATGTATATGTTATTACAAGAGACTTAAAAAATATTCCCTACTGTGGGAATTTACACAGGCTGAGATGTGTAATTCAATTTGCATACCTTTCAGAGAATTTTTAAAATGCTATCCCTTTTTATCTTCACAAGAACCATGGCTTGGAAAGATAAGTTCAGAGATATAGCAGAGACAGTCAGCAATTCAAAGAGGTAAAGGAAGCCTCTCAGGTTCTAATATTAAAACTACTACTCTGAGTAGTATTTACTTCATCAACTACCACTGCATTTCCTATATGCCTAGTGCTATATTATACAGTCACTTAGTGATGAAGAAAACTGCATCCAGGACTGTCTGACTGTGAAGTCTGTCTTATCATTTCATCAATATTTCTTAAACTTGGATCATGAGGTACCCATAACATCTTTAGAATGCCCTTTTGATGTCAGACTTTAAAAAAAAAAACATTATAAAAACTAGATTATAAGACCACTATATACAGTTCAATTTAAGTGCTATGTTTTAGATTTGCATTTGTAGCCATGTTGATGTTACTACCCTAAAACAAAGGCAACTGAGGAAAAACAACTGACGGCAAACATCAAGGATATATTTATGACAAAAGAAATTGAATAATGATAAAACTAAAGTTTTGCAGGAGTATGAATGGAGAAATGGAAACAGTTACAACAAGACAAACTGAAGAACACTTAAATGCTATTAAAAAAGCTTCTGACACGAAAGCTAGTTAGTGGAGCACCCTAATGACATCCTTTCTACCTCACAATCCCATCCTATATAGGATTCTGAATTTGTATCTAGACCTGTTTATTGTTCTAAAATGTCACAGTTTGTGAAAAAGGGAAATTCACTGTTGAATGCTGTATATCAATCAGTGCTCAGAAAATGTCATTGTGTGTGTGTGTGTGTGTGTGTGTTTGCATGCGCGCACCACAAGGAAATCTGTTCATTCATCCTTGCTGGTATATGTTCCAAATCAGTATTTTCTTTTAGTTTCCTAAAAACATAAATATGTTTGAAAATCACAATATTATCAAAGTTTCAAATTCTGTTGCAATATTTTAGTATGCATGTAATATCTAATGAACGATTTTCCTAACAGAAATTAGTAATAATTAATTTAAAATGATTCTCAGGGTCAAGGATTTGGCTCAGTGGTAGAGCACACCTGCATTCAGTTCTAGGCCTTCAAAACACAAACCCTTCTCCTGCCAATTCTTTTTGAAAGGAACTAGGATAATACCTCGCATGTATTTGGATGGCCAAGGTTTTTAATGTGTTAAAATGCAAATTTAAGTCACTGGCCAGAAAATCCAATTTGAGTAAATTATTTCCAAGCATCAAACAAATGCTTGGCTAGTGGTGGAGGGAAGGTGACAGCAGTGGTGGGACTGGAGATGGAGTACTGAATGTCTTTAACAAATCATCAAGAGGTTTGCAAATGCCTGGAAGTTAAGTGACAAAACCAAGTCCTATTTCCCCATCACATTTAAATAGCTAACTCAACAATATCTCCAACTGTGTGGCCATAGAAACTCCTACACCTTCTGTTTCCCCCTTGAACTTCAAGGTTACTTTTTCAGATTGTATTCTCAAAATGGGAGTTTTAGATCATGGTCACCTAGGAATTTAGAAATTAGAAATTCTTAAGATGAAGTCCTAAACAGCATTTAAGTGTATGATCTCTGCCCTTTCTAAAATCTTTTTTTCTCAAGCTCAGTACTTGATCCCATGAAGGGCAGAACAGAGGCATGGTGGAATCAAAGGAATATACATATTCATGATCCTTATTCCACCCTTCTCTCAGATATTAGAGTTCCATCTGCATTGCTAGTTCATGCATAACTTCCTACCCTACCCTTGGTGCTTGGTACCCTATGGTTGGTACAGATGCATTTCAAATCCTGAGTAGCTCACAGGTATGCAGAGTGTAAGTGATTTTCAACCCTAGTTGCCTTGCCTCACAGAACAGTTTAGAAACTATATTTAAAGAGAGACGTACCCTCCCAGAAATCTCACATAATTGTACTCTGGGGCAGGATCCAGTACTGGTCCTGGGCTAGAGCGACAGCACAGTGGGTAAGGCGTTTGCCTTGCATGCGGCCCACATGGCCGACCTGAGTCCGATTTCTCTGCTCCTCTTGGAGAGCCCGGCAAGCTCACCCGCACGGCAAAGCCTGGCAAGCTACCCGTGACATATTCGATATGCCAAACACAATAACAAGTCTCACGATGGAGACATTACTGGGCCCGCTCGTGAAAATCGATGAACAATGGGAGGACAGTGACAGTGATAAAAGCTTCAGGGCAATGATTACAATGTACACAAAGTAGTAATACCTAATGGTCCAAACAGGGAAAAAAGAGCTTGTGCTTGTTGGAAAAAGAAGGGGTTGGGAGGGATAAAAACTTTTCCTCAAATTTTCTCTCCTGCAGAAACTCTAATTAAAATACCTCAATTGCTGTGTATTTATTTTAGAGTTGAGAAGTGGCTTTACCCAGAATGGGCAAGAAAAGAATTAGTTCTGGAAGAGAGTAGGAGGAAACTGAAAAAAGAAAACACGTTGTCCAGTATCTATCATATAAGGCACTCAGAGGGAAATGACAAAAAATGAGCTCACCCATAGGTACCCCTCATACACTATATTAAGATGTAGACCCTAGGAAACCTCGGGATTTTACATAAGATGATAAGGCTATCTTCATTTCCTGACTCTGGCTACTATGGAGTTCCAATCCCAAGTCATTGCCTTCAGTGTCTCAGAATCACGCAAGTCTCTCCTGCTGAGAACAGTGGGATATCAGAGGCCTCATGCTTTCTACTCTCGGAACTGACTACTAGGAAAATCTGAGTGATTCGAACTCTAGGCCTCTCAATCCCATGGACTTGTATTTACACAAGAATTCCTAATATCCAATCATGTTCACATTGATAATTTGATAACATTAAAAGAGCTTTGGGTGTAGATATATCTGTGATAAGAAATTCAAAGTGCATCTTTAAAACTACAATCAATACTTGAATAACAAAAGCTTTATCAATACTGGTGTTAAGACAGACCCTGGTTTGACATTTAATTCTAATACCAAATAGACAGCACAGTGGGTAGGGCATTTGCCTTGCACAGGGCCCATGCGGCCAACCCAAATTCAATTCCTCCGCCCCTCTTGAAGAGCGCGGCAAGCTATCGAGAGTATCTCGCCCGCACGGCAAAGCCTGGCAAGCTACCCATGATGTACTCAATATGCCAAAAACAGTAACAAGTCTCACGATGGAGACATTACTGGGTCTGCTTGAGCAAATCAATGAACAAACAGTAGGACAGTGCACCAAATAGATTACAAAGTTACATGACCTGTAAGTCTGTTTATTTATCTACATGATGTGACTAACAACAGCACTGTAGCACTGTCCTCCCATTGTTCATCAATTTGCTTGAGCGGGCACCAGTAACATCTCCATTGTGAGACTTGTTACTGTTTTAGGCATATAGAATATGCCACAGGGAGCTTGCCAGGCTCTGCTGTGCTAACAATATTTACCTTAAAGGTTGGTGATGAATAGATATTTTTAAAAAAGTTAAAAACCTAAAGACTAGTATAGACACTCAAAATAATATATCCTCAATTACAAAAATCAATTATTAGCTATATAAAAAATAGTTCAATTTTTAACAATAAAATGTCATATTTGGAGGGGCTGGAGCAATAGCACAGCGAGGAGGGCATTTGCCTTGAACACAGCCGACCCAGGTTCGATTCCCAGCATCCCATGTGGTCCCCTGAGCACTGCCAGGAATAATTCCTGAGTGCAGAGCCAGGAGTAACCCCTGTGGATCGCTGGGTGTGGCCAAAAAAGAAAAAAATAAAATAAAATGTCCTATTTGTTTATCGAATGACTTTTTGTGTTGTGTGCCCTGATCACAAAGGTTCTCAATAAAATATTATTGTTAAACATATAAAAATTTTAAGACTTAATATTAAATATTACTTAAATATTATATTACTTAATATAAGACTTATATTAAATATTACACATACTTTCACCACTAAGATCAACTGACAAAATTGCCCTTGGGTACTGATAAGTTGTATTTTTCTCCGTAAACATGCTTCGCAGAGCTAGAGAACTCCCAGAAGATCGAGTTAGCGGAGAAGAGCACCTTTCCAAAAATTCTAGGGAACTGTCTTCATAGTCTGAATAATCTGCAACACAAAATACATAAAGATAAATAAATGAAGTATTAGGCAATCAAGAAGATTCACTATAATGATATTAATGATAAAGTTGTATTTCAAAATAAATAAAATAATCATCTTAATACTTTCTCTTCTCACCGAGAAACAACTACAGATCACTGTATATCTGCTAAGTTGAGTCCAGTTAGAACATCTGAAAAACAGATCCCAGACAGTACTGACATGGCAGGGACCACCCTTTTCTAAATGATAGCAATAAAATCTTGGTACATACTCCAGAAGTGAATGGGTTTTTTCTACATTTTCTCTCCACTACAATGACAGCTGTATCTGTAGTAAAATGTAAAAACGGAAATTAACTGTGCTTATTTTTTCAGACTGTTATGTAGGTTCTGCCAACAATTATAATGATAATCTGCTCAGCAAAACCTTCAGCCAAAACACCTCTGCACAAACTTAACTGGTCCTGACAGAAATGATAAAGGTTTAAGTAATGCCAGGATAATGATCCCTCCATGTTAGACTCAGGAAAAGGTTGTGAACAAATATATTCAGATGAATAATTAGTTGCGGTGAGAAGATGAACAAGTTCCTACCAATAGCTTCTATTGTCTCAGGTAACTGTGAAACAAAGGATGCCAATTGGGTCAGGTCAGGGAATAAGTAAGCAATGGAAAACAGTCAGAGAAAATGAGGAAAAGATAATATGGGGAAAGCAATTTGAATCCCTGGGTTCAATTCCTGGCACTACCTCAAATGACAAGTGCCATCCCAAGAGCCCTGTCATCTGGATCCTTGGGGTCACAACACTGTGTGCGTCCCACAGCAAACACAAGTCATTGTGGGAATATCACAATTAACATGTAGCTCCTGGTCATAGCAGCCTCAACAATAAAAAGGAAAGAAACAGAGATAAATATCATATATTATTTGTTCTTAGCGGTTGAAGGTTTGTAAGTATCTGTTTAAAGTCAATTGCCTATTTTCCTACTGCTTTTTTTTTAATTTGCAAGAGTTCAAATTTTCTGAATACTAATTCAGAAAATCTATCTATGTGTTGCAAAGTTCTTAATTTCAGTCAAATCAAATTTCTTATTTAAAAATAATTTTAATTAACACCTTATTTCTTAATTTGTATTTTTCTGTCTTATTAATTCTTTTGGATTTGGGGTTTATTTCTGGTTTGTGGAGGGGTCACATACAGTGGTAGTCAGAGGCAATTCCTGATGCAGTGCTTAGGGTTCCCTCCCAGCAGTGCTAAGGGAACCATGTGGTGCCAGAGATCACAGCTGAAGGATCCCAAATGCAAAGCATAAGCTTCACCCTTATATCCTCTAAAGACAGATTACTAATAGAAAAGCTCCCACCCTCCCTATTAAAAATAAAAGAAACATATATTTATTCTACCTTCATCTTTGGAAGCTAATTTAAGGAACTATGCAATTAATTATAGATTGAGAATAATTCTTTCAGGGTGCCTTGGCAGGATGGAGTTGACCATAAAGCTAAAAATAAGTCTCTAGTCATTTACAAGGGTTAGTTTACAGCCCATAGTAAACTGGAATTACACATTTTCAAAGTTATCAAGATAATAAACTTTTCAGTTCTCAACTGAAGGATCTTTTTATAGATCTATTCTGGTAAAGGAATAGAAGGAAAGTGAAGAAATCTTAGAATTCTTTTTAATGTGAAAGACCATTTTAGATACTTACCATGTTGCTTAGATTTCTTTTTCTTCTTTTTCTTCTTTTTCTGTTTAGGTTTGTAGTGATCTCTGTCTCTCTTCTCTTTTTTCTCCTTATCCTTTTCTTTTCTCTTACCTACAGGACAAAAGTGAGTAAATAAATTAGTAGTCAATATTGATCCTGAGTTGATCCTTTGTGATTAACCTAAAAGCAGCATTTATGTTTTAATCAGCTATTCCAGTCACCTGCCCAGAGTGGATGGATTCAATTAAACTGTTCCTGTCATGAGTCTGGAACTCCTGATTAGATTATTGGACTATAAGAGGGGATCTTCATTAGCAGTGTTGAGAAATCCCAACTCCTGACACCTTAAAGTTAACACAGACAGTAGTTAAAATCTTTAAATGAGTAATATAACTCAGTTTCCTGAAGTGGTAAGAAATAAACCTCATAATTTAAGAAAGCTTTAACTGAGAAGACTCAGCATATCTATATATAATTTAGTAAATTTATATTAGAAAAGTAAACAAAGATGAACGTTTTTTAATAAAAATCTCAATCCACATTTCCTTACATTTAATATTAATTTCCCACTCCATACAAGAATTAAGACTAAGAAAACAAAGAAAAAACTTATCAGATTGACTGTCCCCAACATTTTAACAATCTGTTGTTGAATTATATTCACTTTAACAAAAATAAATGTTAAACAGTTTTCAGTGGTATTTCATCTAAAATCAAATTCATCACACATATATTTAACTATCAGCTTAGTCTAAATTTGTCAACAATACTGAACCAACTTTCAGTGACCCAAGCTCCAGTTTACTATTTGGTTAAACAGTTTATGCTATCATTCATTATTCAATACTTTTAGTCACTACAGAAGATTAAAAAGTTGCCCAAAAAATTGTGACATTCTTCTAAGGAAGGCTGAAGAAAGACTGAAAAAAAGGACTTTATTTATTTTTTATCTAGTTTCTAAATCTCAACAATACTAAGTGCTGGCTTATTTTTAAGTAGCCATAATTTTACCTAAAAATGTTTTAGGAACACAAAGTTATCAGAGAGAGTTTTAGACTGTGACATTAATATACATTATATATATGTATGTACATAGATAGATAGATAGATAGATAGATAGATAGAAGAAACCTTCTAAAAGATCATCTACCAGGAGCTAAGAAATACTAATCAATACTAACTACTCATTCATCCCTGAAAAAACTACTAATATCTAAGGAAGCATTAAAAAAGGGGCAACTTATGGTATCCCATGCTCAAGCTTTGTAATTTTTTTTCCGCTTAAAGATTACTTTCTATTCATACCAAATGCTGTTGAGCTTTTTTCTTCCAATTTCACTTTTTTTTCTGTTTTCGATATTCCTGTAGGTTTAGGAGAAAAATGAAAGCTTAGTCAAAAAAGGTTGAATGAATGGGACAATGTTTTAAACTACAATTGCTCACAAACACTACATAAGCTCTTTCCCCATAGAGGGCTACATTATTTTACTGTCTAAACTTATAACAAAGAAGCAGGATTTCTTTTTCACTTAAACCATTAAGCTTAGTTTTTGTTTCTTCAGGTATCTCCCAGTTTCAACTACGGCTTTCCCACTTGTTAGCTGTGTGATATTTAGGATGTAACTGAATTCCTCTCTGTTTTCTTTAGCCAACTAGGAGTACACATGTACTGGCTTGTAATGTGATGTTCAGCATGGTGTCTGAGGCTGAAGCATTCGTAGGTACAGGCAACATTTCACTTTTGGTGTCAGTATGACATGAACGTGTACATGTCATCTGCTTTTTTTTTCTTTTCTGGGGGGTCACTCCTGGCTCTGCACTCAGGGATTACTCACGGCAGTGCTCAGGGGACCACATGAGATGCTGGGAATCGAATCTGTGTTGGCCGCTTGCAAGGCAAACGCACTACCCACTGTGCTATCGCTCCAGACCCTGTTCATGTCATCTTAATGAAATGTTAAGCTTCATACAAAGAGCGTGAGTTTTCAATAATTTGTATCAAGTTTTATAAATAATATTTAAAATTTCTTCCCTAACACAAACTTCTACCTTTGAACCCCATCAGGATTGTACTGTTAGGTAATTATAAAGGTGAAAATAGAATCACCTTAACAGGTCATTCTTAACAGGTCATTCACCTTAACAGGTCATTACATTTTACATAAATGTAAAAAAAACTATATTTATTGATGCATGAATATTCATTCTTAACAACATCCAGGAATTATTATCGAATAATAGCACAAAATATATTTTAAAATCAATAGTGCACCACAAAACAACAGAAATTCAATACGAATTTCATAAAATTTCTCAACTCATATTTAACCTTTCCCAACATTGTCTTATCTGTGTTCAGATTAAACTAAGAAAAATACAAATACTTTTTTTTTCGTTTTTGGGTGACATCTGGCAATGCACAGGGGTTACTCCTGGCTCTGTACTCAGGAATTACTCCTGGCAGTGCTTGGGGGACCATATGGGTTGCTGGGGATCAAACCTGGGTCAGCGTCATAAAAGGCAAAGACCCTACCTGCTGTACTACTGCTCTAGCCCCTACAAATAGTTTTTGAAATGTAATTTCAGCCTGGGCTGGAGCGATAGCACAGTGGGTAGGGCATTTGCCTTGCATGCGGACAACCCGGGTTCAATTCCTCCCTCTCTCTCTCAGAGAGCCCGGAAAGCTACCGAGAGTATCCCACCCACGTGGCAGAGCCTGGCAAGCTCCTGGCGTATTCAATATGCCAAAAATAGTAACAAGTCTCATAATGGAGACGTTACTGGTGCCCACTTGAGCAAATTGATAAACAAAGGAAGAACAGTGCTACAGTGCTAATTTCAGCCTACTGAATTATACCTTAATACAATCAAATATAAGACTCCGATAAGGTAATGAAAAAGCTAAAAATTTATCTATTCATGTTGCTTCAAATATTTTTTATATGTTAAACATAAAAAACACTATTCACCTAAAATACCAGTAAGTCTAATAAACATGTTTTAAATCAAATAAGAACATAATCTTTTACTTATTATTAAAGATATTAGCTCAAAGGGAAACACAATCAAAGTTTCTTATTATCAAGTCTACAGAACAAATAAATGTACCACTTTCTTTTTACTAAGTACTACTAATTACCACATCATGAAAATTCTACATATCTGACACCATGAAAGTTCTATGTATCGGATACAATTTCTTTAAAATAATAAAACATTTACAATATAGATATGAAAAATATTCTCCCAATGATATATATTCAGAGGCATAAAAGTTATGTAATATACAATTCAGGGCCAGAAGAGATAATCGAGCTGCTAAGACAATTGCCTTGCATGCAGCCAACCCAGGTTTGATGCCCAGCATATCATACAGGCGTTTGAGCACAGTCAGGAGTGATCTCCTAGTGCAGAGTCATGAGTAAGCACTGAGCACTGCTGGGTCTGGTCCAAATCCCCACACTCGCCAGTAAGGATAAAATTCAGAGTGCACTTATTAATAATTTCATCCTAAGTCCCTAATTCTCTTAAGCACTGAATTCTCTGGCTGAAAAGTAGAATATGTTTAAAATCTCCTATGCTGTTTCAAATCACAAGAACTTACTTTTTTGGGCTCCTTTTACTGATTAGAATATGTAAGCTCCTTCAGATATTTGAAATACAAAACAGTTATGAACTGCCTCTGCCAGAACACAAGTCACTACAGAAAGACTGACATTCCCAAAGTACTTTTAGGAAGTCAAGTTCCAGATTCAGTTTCAAAGCTTCTAGTGGCCCAAGTTTTAGATTTAAGTGATTTCAAAAGTAAAATTTAAAGGACTAGCTGAGATATTCAAATATGCATTAATGGCAAGACTTTAATATTTTTTTATTGAATCGTCATGAGATAGTAACAAAACTTTCAAGATTGAGTTTCAGTTATACAATGATCCATCCCTCTAACAGTGTGCATTTCCCACCACCAATGTCCCCAGTATCCCTCCCGCCACCCACACTTCACCACATCCCGTCTCTGTGGCACAATTTCCTTCTTACTCTCTACTTTAGGGTATTATTGTTTGTAATAAAGATACTGAGAGGCCATCACATTTGATCCTTTGTCTACTTTCAGCACACAACTTCCTCCTGAAAGATCCCTGCAACCATCATTGACTTAGTGGTCCCTTCTCCATCCCAACTGAAAAGGTAAGATTTTTATAAAGAGAAATAGACTTAATAGAACTTATCAAAAAATAATTTTGTTTTATATAAGTTCATTACATCGAACTTATCCGACCTATGCCCATAATCTGATACTAGAATATTAATTTTCAATTTTCTTAAAACTAAATTGCAATGACATTTCTTCAAATAAAACATTACATAATAATCTAATACCCCCCAAAAAGAACCAAACAAAAAACAAATGGAGCTATTTAAATTAAGGAGAGGTAGGATGCAGAACCTCACCTGCTTGTATACAATTTAAAACTGTATTGCAGAGTGATTTCTCAAGCCTTTCCTAGTATGCTAAGTACCTCAGATTCTTACAGCTACAAAGGCGGATACACTTGAGACTCTCCATGGAAACCCCAGGCCCTCTATAAGTCATGGACATTTGTTATGGGGGAGGAGATAGATTTCAGTTTCCGGTTATAGTTTTGTTCTCTTTGGTATAATTCTTGAAAGTAAATAAATAGGAAAACACTTTGAAACAGGCTTTTAAGAAGCAATTGTAAGTGTCTTGACAAAGTGCGTACTTTGAAGACACGAGGTAATGAGTCCAATTCAATCCCTCACACTGCCCCATTAGCCACATGCAATCTCATAAGCATTACCATTACTGCAAACTGAACTTTAGTACGTGTTGTGTGTGTGCACCACAACAAAGGGTGTGAGACCTGGGGGAACTGCAAACACTCTCAGTGAGCAAATGCAACTTCCAGTCATCTCAACATCAAGGAAAGGGAAGGGACAAAATATAAACAAAAAAGTTAATGCAAAGGTAATGAAAATGTTGAACCAAAAAATAAAGGTCATTTTTAATCTAAACACAGCAGACTAGACAACTTGTCACATGCTTTTTGCCAAACTAACTCAGACTAATACCATGCAATCAAAGTGTAATTAATACTGGAGGCCAGAATGGTTGATAAGATGCTTCAGACAGTCCAGTCGGTTCTGATTCTTGGCACTGCAACATGTGGCTCCAAACACCCCCCAAAAGCGTACTATTATCTTTGTAATATAACATATATTATATATGATACAAGTGTTTTATTAACCAATAAATCAATCTGTAATATATACATGAATACTTTACAGATGGCTGAGTGAAGTCCAACTATCTTAATTAATATTTATTACATAAATGCCACTAAGAAGCAATTTCATATATGATTTTGACAATCAAGAGAAATGTTATTTCAATCAGTGGTACCCTAAAACATAATGGCCTACTAATAAATACCATGATGTCTCAGTTCATGTTTAAATGACTCTAAAATATTCTATAGCAAAACAGAAGAAATATTCCTTGATATTTATGTATCAATTTAACATAATGACAACACAGATGCTTTATTTTCTAACGGTGTTTCTTTCAATAATGGAATCATTTGAAAGGCTTAAAACTGGGGCTAGAGAGATAGTAAAGCGAAGATTATACCTGCCTTGCACACAACCAACCCAGGTTCAAACCCTGGGATCCCATATGGTTGTCTGACCACAGCTAGGAGTAAACCCTGAGCAACACTGATTTTGGCCCATTAAATAAACAAAAAAGGCTTTGTATTATATTCACATAACCTATTGATTTATATAATTTACCAATGTTTTAGTCTGACTGCTATACCAGCAGCATACACATTCCTAAATTAAATAACTAAAAATCTAAGTGTGTCAAACAATATAACTATTAATGTCTAACATCTCAGCAGTCCAAACATCCCAAGTTTCAATTTGTCAAGACCCCAGAAAAGATCTTTGATACAAATTCTGGTAAGTAATGCTTTCCATAGAAGTTTTCAAATTCAAGCATAAAACAAATGATTTTCATAATTAAGATAAACACCAACCAGTCAAATATATGTACATAAACAGCAAAGGCTAGGAATGTGGTTCAAGAGTAACAGGATACATATATTACATGTACTAGGCACTGAGTTCAAGTCCCAGCAACATGTGGTGCCCTTAGGGCTGCCAGCCGTAGTCCTTACTGATTGTGTTCACTAAGCATCAGGAATGGCCAGAGGCCCCCAAGCACCATAGCATATGGTACCCAAAGGGACATCAGGAATTGCCGATCTACCACCAAAAAATACAGGTATTTTGACTCTAAATGTAAGATAACCTGGGGAGTGCATAGAAGCCCATCAAACACTGCAGAAGCAAAGTAGAGAGGATTGGGTAAAAAATGTTGAGAGAAAAGTATGCAGGCATTTCAATCAAAAGAAGACGCACTATTCACAACAGCCAGAATCTGGAAACAACCCGAGTGCCAGAGAACAAAAAACTGGTTAAAAAAACTTTGGTATATCTACACAATGGGATACTATGCAGCTGTCAGGAGAAATGAAGTTATGAAATTTGCTTATAAGTGAACAGTCATGAAGAGTATCATGCTAAGTGAAATGAGTCAGAAAGAGAGGGACAGACATAGAAGGACTGCAATCATTCGTGAAATATAAAATAAGATGGACACCCAAGGAAAGTAAAAAAAGGGGGGGGGGGCAGAATATTGATTCATAGTTGGAAGCCTGTCTCATGAGCTGGGGGAGAAAGCAGCTGGAATAAAAAAAGGAATCACTAAGACAATGATGGCTGGAGAAATGATTCAGGATGGGAGTTGTGCGCTGAAAGTGCATAAAGGACCAAACGTGACAACAACCTCTCAGTATCTGTATTGCAAACCATAATGCCCAAAAGTAGAGTGTGGGGGAAATTGTCTCCCATGGGGACAGGGGAGTGTTGGAAAGATGAGATATACTGGGGACACTGGTGGTGGAGAATGTGCACTGGTGGAGGGATGGGTGTTTGATCATTGTACGATTGAAACTCAAACATGAAAGCTTGCAACTGTATCTCGTGGTGACTCAATAATTTTTTAAAAAAGAAAGAATGATATAAAACTGAGTATTTCATATTAGCTATAGTTAATATTCCTTCTTTATTTTGAAAGAAGGAATAAGGAAGTTAAAGCAGCAGTTACTAAAAAGATAAGAAGCAGTTCCAATCACTTCAATCATATTATCTTAATATAAGACTATCAGGAAAAGAGCAAGCTCTATTCCATAATACATTAAATTGCTGACAAAATGAATCCAGGGAAGATAACTATTGAATATAATTATCTACAGTCCTCTTGGTTGAAAATCAGGAAATAGTTTTCTTTGTCTCCATTTCAAAATTGACTCAATTTAGACCTTCTTTATCTGTCTAACTACAAATCAGTAATTTATTGGAAAAGAATTTAAAATTAATAGTTGCCTCTTTTGTATAGTATCATTTGGTTGAGGTTAAAATTCTATAAACATCCTACATAAAAGAATATAAATACCAAAGGTAAATAAAAACATAAAATCAGATAAAAATACCTATTTGATAAAATAACTCTGAAATGGTTTCAGACTACTAAAAATACCCACAAAGTTATTCCAAAAGTGTATTAGTGAGATTGCTTAATTTGACATACTAGACTATGAAAATATTATTTCAACAAATTGCACTTGATTTTGGGAGAATCCTACACCAAAATACAAGACTATCCTTAAGATAAATGTAGACAATTTAAGCAAAGTATTTTTAAATTCTTATTAAAATTCTAAGAGTAAATATTGATACCATCTTTTTTTTTCCTTCAAATTCAAGAACTCCTGAAAATAGTACATAAGAGAGAAAAAATAATAATAGAAAGAAGTATGTCCAGGGAATATGTAGCAGAACAGCTGCACAAGAGAACAGAGAAATTAGGTATCAAAATTATGTAATTATGCATCAAAATGTTCATACACTAAAATGAACCTCAGTTATTTGGAAAATAAATCATTATTACCTGGTGTTATTGAAGTGCCTCTTCCATCAGCTATTACTTTGAAAGAAGGATTTGTAAGCATCTGAGTATCTTCTTTTTCTATCCTGAGACATTCATTATGGTAAGAGGAATCTGGGGCTAGCGGTGCTGGAACTTCCAAACCACGACTTAAATCAAGAGGGAGACAGTGCCCCAGCTTCTCAAGTGACAAATGTGCACCATCAGGCACTACACAAAAATAAAGAATGTAGTATAATATTAACACAGGTAAAATAGCTTAGTAGGCAGATCAAAAATGTTATATACGTTAAATAGTGCCTGGCACAAAGAAGGTAGTCAATAATGGTAGATAAAATGAAGTTCTTACAAATCCAATTGATGTTAGAAGGAAAAGCAAAAATTTCTTAATATTCTAGTCATCTAATTCTTAGTGCTTTCTTTTCTCTTCTCATATGTTTGGTGCTATAGGAAATCAATATACATTACCCTCTGGTATTGTAGTCTCTTGCTGATTTTGAGAACTGATGGAGAATACTTTTCCATCAGTGGTTGGAGAGGGAGAAGAAACCTTTTCTATAGGATCATCAGGCATGGGCAAGGTGGCTAAGCGCTGAGATCTTCTTCTCCGCTCACTATGCTTGAAAGTTCTAGGGGGATTCACAGGCTGTGGAGGACCTAGAAAAAGATCCTCAATGTTCACGAAGCAGATACATGCTTGGATCATCTTATAATATTTAAGGAGACAAATGGGGAAAATGATTCAAATCCTGCCCTCTGATGTTTTAATGTATCCACAAGAACAGAATGTTCCATAGGTAATCAAAGGCAAAAACTGCCCTCATTCGCAAATATGTAATCAAAACCTTTCAAATCTAAGCCAAAAGATATTAACATTAATTTTAGGTAGTTTCCCAAGTGACAGAGAGCAGTTAATTCTTTAACTGCAAATTGTTGTGTCAGTTGCCATTTTTCCTTTAGGAAAATAGTCTCTGTATAGCCAAATATCTAAATATAATCAATCCAGAAACTCTAAAGAGGAAAAAGAGGTAGGAGGCATAGGTGACAAAAATCTGACATGCATTGTAGATTTAGTGCTTTGCTTCAATTGCCAAAGTCAAATAGATGTAAATAATTCTATTCCACCTTCATTCCCTGAAATGGATTTTTAGGAATGTATCTCTGGGCCTGATTCATTAAAAAAAAAAGAAAAAAAAAGAAGAAAAAGAAAACGAACAGAAACAACTTTAATCTGTATCATAGAGAACAATGAGAATTTTGAAATAAGCAACAGTTCTCGCTTGCCCTTAGTGTTTGATTTTTAAAATAATCTAATGAGTCATTTAAGCTTCTAACCATTTAGCACAGAAGTTTAGAAGTTGTCTAATTTTCATTATTTTATTTCTACATGATGCAAACATTTCATTTTTCAAAATTAAAAAAAAACATAGAACATTAAGTTAATTTAAAAGGAGGAAGAGAGTAGACCAAAGAGGTTGAAGCTTTGGATAATTAAATTATTCAAAATGAAAAAAAGACATGGTGACACTTGAAAAATAAAACTCAATTGCTATAACATTGTGGTTACACCAAAATAAAAGCAATTTCAAAATAAAACTCATCAATGTCGTGAGACATTGTAGGAACTGCTAATGGCATTATTTTATGGAAAATGCCATGATAAAACTAATAAGGAAAAAATTAAGTACTTGTATCCTCATCCTTTCTACCCATTTGTTAAAAGGAAAACAAAAACAAAAAAGTATTAAGTCCTGACCAAAAATTGAAATAAATGGTTTTTCAGAAAATATGGCAACATAATGGAAAAGATGTAAATATATCTAACTGAGAAAAGATCTCAACAGCAGCATCTTTGGTTTAACAGACAAGTAAAACGATAAGAAAATATGGCATATGAACTTACTAACTGGGTTTCTAAACAATTTTTGGTATTTCTAGTATAAGAAAAAGATCTTTTACCCAGTGACTTTACAAGTAATTGTTTTTCTTTTATGTCTAACATAGAATATTATGAAAATAATATTAAATATAAATATAAAATAATATGAAAATCATAGGAATCCAGACCAATGCTGCAAAGTTATTTTTAAAAGCCCGTTAACTCTTAAAAGATTAGTGGTACTGAAACATAAAGTCACTAAAACAAGGTCATTTAAAAAATAAGATCAAGAATGATCTTTTGTTAATAGCATTAAACTGAAGTTTGTACTCAACATCCTAGGAAAAGAATGAATAAAATGTATAGCCAAGGGGGATTAGAGACAAGTGGAGGCACTAGACATGAGCTGGATCCAAGGAGTTGAAGAAAAATATCCACATGGGTCTTTTTATATCTGCTTTTCATTTAATTTTGCTTTCGTTTTTTGTAATGAATCAGGCCTCTGTGCTTGAATTATTAGTTGAGGAAAGTCAAACTACAGTGGCATTTTCATTAATGGTAACGGTTTCTCAACCAGTAGTACAGTCTCTGTGCAATAAATTATTCAGAAATGTATATGGTTTTTGCCCGTGAAAGTTTCAAGCCTTCCCTATCATATCCACTTGAGGTTTTAAAAAACAACTTCATAAAAAAGACATTATAGCTACAATCAAACTGTTTTTAATGTATCTTATAGGATAAGTAACTATTTTTAAAAATCTGTGCTCACTAGTTTTATTTATCACTGAAGAAGAAAGCTGAGATACAAGCGTCAAATCCTCGACTTGTATTAATTCTGGGGAAAGTGGTGATTTAGGGGGTTTTATACACCCAGAAGAATCTCCAGATTCATGTTTGCATTTCTTGCTGCGAGCCTTCCCTGAAGACAATGTTGAGGATAACAGTGCAGGTTTCTGAGTGTTGGCAGAACTGCTAATGTCAGCTTCATTTTTTTTCTGACTTTGAGGTTTAGGTGAAATCGCCTGAATAAATAATAAAAAATTGATATTTTTATTTTGGTTTCTTCATTTTGGTTTTTGTATTCTATTTTGATTGTTAAGCAACTTTAGTATCCAAAAACATTGTTAAGCAACATATAACATTTCTATTACAAATGAAAAATCAAAAAAGAACCCCACAAATTATTAACTAAAAGTTGAACAGGCTGTCTTTAAAGGGATGCTGTCAAGTTTTTGCTAATTTTGGCTTTACATATATATATATTTCATTCATATCCTTTTCAGAATATAAAATGTATCTTACTGGACAAAAATTTACAGTGTGGGACTGAAATAAGCTCTTTAAATTTGTAATCACCAATGACAAATCAAAATTAGGTAAATAAATTTTTTTTATGATTTACACAGAATTTTCAGTTTTAGAACAGAAAAGAAACAGTAAGTTATGATTCTAACTATCAGATGTTTTCTTATAAAATAATTTTTCTTATCAAGTTGGACTTGGAAGTCTGAGTAGACAGTTTCCCTTTAAAGAAAGATCTCAACAGGAAAACAATGACCAAATTAACGAAACATTATCTTTAACTCATTTTAATGCTGAAAGCTAGAGTTTCATAGGCATAAACGAATGCATCATGAAATCAAAGCCACCAGCAATATAGAGTTAAAAGACTAAAAACCAATACAAAACAAGCAACAACAGAAAAAAAAAACTAAGGAGATAAAGTGTAAGTTAAAAACATTGGATATAAAAACAAAATACGTCGCATTCTTAGATGAAAGTTTTTTACCTTCTTCCTGCCAACTGATACTTTTAAAAAAAAATTAGAACTTTTGTCAGTTCTTTCATAAGAATCTTTTTATTCATTTGGCAGCAAAATTCCCTATATACAAAAATATATGTAAATGTATCCAAAGAACAGAGAATAGTCACATTGGATGGTTCTACAATTTATTGTGGGGGATTGCCTTTATTTCTGACTTATGTATCTGAGAGCAAAATAAAAGATACACATTCGAAAAAGATCTAAACCAAGATAGACCTCTATAAAGAACTGAACTGCTAACACTATGAACAGCACACTTTCATTTCCCAAGAAATCTTTTTTTTTTTACTTCTTTATCTTTTATTGAAGGATGACCATCAGGTCTGCAGTCTGAAATTTTCTGGAATATGAAAGATCATTGTCTGGAACAAATTAGCCTTCTGTTCCCACTAAAGTACAGGGCACTCAAATTTTGATTTTGGAAGTTTTTTTTTTAAGTATTTTTCTGGTATTAAGCAGAGCAGCCTCAAATGCTCTTCAGATGGCATGTGGGACATACCACATAAGGAACTGGTGTTGAATTCCCATTCATTCAGTTGTCATCATTTCTATTCTTGAATTTACTCATTACACATGTGTACAAATGTGTATTAATCATTACAAAAAGTGCTTCACAAAAGGAAAGGATTCCTAAGCTTACCATAAAAGGTGTTGCCAGAAAAGTAATTAGAGCCATTACTTGTAAATAAACAATTTTATTGTTCATCTTCACATAAGTGAAAGACATCCATTACTACAGCATCCATTACTCTCGAGTTACAAAGTTATAAAACAAGATTTTAAAGCTTAAATTAATATCTTAAGAAGGTGCTTAACTTCTAAACAAGGACAAATTAACATTTTTAAAAACTTACTGAATTATGCATCTAATGCAAGTTTTATCCAAAAGTAAATATAACATGACATTTCCCTAATACAATTAAATAATCTATAATAATCAGAAAATTGAGGTTCAAGACCACAGTTTGAATTTTTTAATGTAAATAAAATAAATCCATTAGCATAGTAAGTTTTAGCTATAGGCCTGTTATCAATCTATGTCACAAGTGACATTTAACTCATCAGGACAACAGAGGTTAGTTACAATCAATACCTCTCCTTTAAATCTACTATTGATAACAATTGAGATTTAATTAAGAGCTTTATAACTCGGCTTTTAAACTTTGAAGCAGGAAAAAACAACACAAAAATTAAAGAGTTTGGTTACAAAACATTTTCACATTGAAATCAACTGAATGACAAAAAATGAAGGAACAGTATGATGTTCCTAAAAAAATCTTAATTTACAGTTTTCATAAATTATTACTGGTCTCTTTGTTACAAAACTGGCAAGGACTCTTCAAAGATTTTAATTATGCAAATAGAAACAGCCGAGTTACTCAAGGTTTTTTTTTGTATTCTTAGCTCAATTTCAAAAGATTGCTTTCTATACTTCCTTTTGAGATGGGCACTGCCCTCTATAATAACTTCTACATATAGTAATTTTCACAGTCACATTCAACTCAGCAAGATTGTGCATAAAATTGACATTGTAATGAATTTTCCAGAAACATACCCAACAAGTCCCTGATTTACTGCATTCTGAGCATACCATGAACAGTGGTGAAAATACAAAATATTATATCTGGGACGTTGAATATAGTAATACACAGTATGGCAAAGACTCAACCGTGTGCTGACCACAGAAAATCAGAAGATATAATTCGCTGACATATTAATTTAAAAGACCGTTGATTTAATACAACATTAATGGAGGCACCGAAACATCACACTGTTATCAAATCAGGCCTAAAAATAACCCTGAAAAACTCAATACAATATCAATTAAATTTGGGCTATTTTAAAAAATGCATATAAGCATATAAGATACTAATTTTAAAGTCTTAATTAGACTGCTAATGAAGAAAAGTAAAATAATACAAAACGATAGATTAAAACTCCATTAAGGCTCAGATTTTAAAACAAGAAAACCAAGGAAACCCAATTATGGCTATTACTGTGTTCTTATATAGTCTTACAGTGTCCAAGAAGTTAAGCCCTTAGAGAATGTAAAAGCATGCACAGTTTATTATGTACAGGTATTGTGGGAATCTGAAGGTAGCCAAGGCAAAATCTAGCAACTGCAACCTTCACTTTTAATTCCTCTATTAGGTGGTTTAAAGACAGACCCTTAATAGTTTTTTAAATTATCTTTTTTTGTAGTTATTAAAATATACATCCTAGCAAAAATGTATGGCTCATTGATCAATTCATAAAACACATAGTCTAACACCAATTGTTACAATATAAAAGAAACTTCTTACAAAAGAAGCTTTAGTAGATGCCAAAAAACCCTGTTTTAACTCACAAATGAAAGTATTTGTGTAAGGGTCTTTTTGTAAGCTAAAGGTGATCCAGCTGAAGCTTATACCCTGGGATGCCTGTCTCCAGGCCTTCAAATTTTGGAGACAAAGGTTTGAATGCCAGTCTATTGAAAACAAAAGCTAATGAATGAAGTTTGTAGTTTATCTGTGTAGCTTGGAGAAGCAGAATTAAAAATATATCATCAGTTAGTTTCCTATTCCCATATATCTGATCAAAAGGGCAATTTCAATTAGGTGGATACTATAGCTCCGTGATCATTCCAGTTGGGAACCTTGAAAAAAAAATCAAATGCTACCATTTCATACCTGCTCCAGCATTGGAGCTGTTTCATTGTAGTCTTCCTTTTTTTCAGCACCATCCACCCCAACAGCTTTGGAAGCCAATAAACCTTGAGAGAAATTGTACAGAAATTGCTCATTAGAAGAAATCCTGACTTCACCCAAATTAACATCAAAAATAGCAGTTAAATTCCCCACGCATTGGAAGTGAATATTCTTATAAGCTTAATTGCCAACACACACTCTTTGCAATAATTCAGGAGTCTAAAATAGAATTTGGGTGTTGTTTGTGTAATTTATGTAATTTCAAGACAAACATCTTTATTCTGTCAAAATTTAAAATTTCATGGCTTAATGTTGAATTACGATTAGTTACTGATAGAGGCTTTCTAGACATATTTGAAAAAAAGTATTATTAAGATATGAAAAAATTTCCACTTATCTATAATATAGTCATTGTTGTCACTGTTTCTGCCTTACAAAAAAATGCTACCAGAAAAAAAAAATTTAAATGCACTAATTTACAATTTAACTTGAATCTTTATGTCTTAGTTTTTGCTTTTGCGACACCCCTCACCCCCGCACCTCCCTACTCCCAGTGCTGAGGGATCAGTACTGGCAGGTTCCAGGACCTTATGTGGTACTGAGAATCTACCCTTGGGTCAACCGAGTGAAAAGCAAGAATCATACCTGCTGTACTATCACTCCAGCCCCTCACTTTAATCTTTTAATCTAGGCTTCATAGATTTCTATGCTCAGTCGTAACATAAAAGTTTTGAAAACTGACGATGATATTATATTAAAAGGGAAAAACTATAGGTTTGTCCTACAATATCTGAGTTCATTACAATAGTCTCATCCTAGGAGTGATGGAGAATGATTTGGAGTTTCTTTCTGTTCCAATGTATACCACTCATTTTCAGTTTTAGAAGACAATAATTTGTCTGGAGTATATGTCATACTTAGCTTTAAAAGGCATTAAAATTTTAAATTAAAGGCACTTATTAAGATTCTTTGCTACGCACATTTCATATTTTCAGTGAGTTAGGTTTATAAACTTTGCATTATTAAAAAGTATTTGCTGTTCCTTACGTCCACATTACACATAAAAGGTCAAACCAGAACCATTTTTGTCATTTCAAAGTTGGTCAAATAAAACATATGTTATAAAAAATGCATGTCTATCAACACAATAGTTATATATATATGCATGTATACATATATACATATATATCACAAACATTATTACAGCAATTATACCACCTATATTACTTAAGCTGTGCCCTCAAATGCCACAAAGCCCTGAGCCATTTACAGGGCAACGTCTCTTGACTTTTTCAGATAACAACTGAAATTTGTTAAGGAAATAATTAGGAATTTAAATATGAAAAATACAGTCCATAGTAGTACCACAGCTAAGTGTTAAGAATTATCTTTATGAGAAAGCTGAATGTCTAGGATTTAGAATGCAATTTAAAATACAAACAATAAAACAATAATTTTGATACATCAATGATTTTCATTAGAACTGGCATTTAGCTCAGTTTGAAATAATATTCCACTTAAGTTGTTCAAGTTATGCTCTTAGAATTAAATGGTGAAAAATAAACATTAAAAAATTTTTATAAAACAGCCTATGCAGTATACATTTAGTCCTAATGATAATTTCTAAGCATATTTTAAATGACTCAAACACATTTTTATTAAGGCCTAGGTATTCAATAGGTTTTTATTCTTTAACTAGCATTTTTCAAAATATATAATACTAAAATTTAAATAATCTGTAATCAAGTTATTCTTTTTCCAGGAACTAAGAAGGGACTGTTACTTCTATAAACTTTTAAAAAAGAAAAAATATTTGATGATATATTACATATATACCGAATGTTTTGTTTCTTTTCATGAAATGGTGGAAATACTTTTAAATATGAACAATTAGAATATATCACAAACAAATTTAAAATAGGGTTCCACAAATTTTAAAACAATTCAGCCATAAAATTAGGATACTACAGATCCAATTAATCAAACACAATTCTTATGTAATGTTTTGTGGAAAAAATAGTTTTATAAATTTCTTATAAAAAGTATCAGGGCATTTAAATAAATTTATTTAAAATTAAACTAGAAAACAGCTTTTGGTAATATAGTTAATTCAAAATCCCCATGTAATCAACAAAAAAGTTTTGTATATGCTAACACAAATAAGTTACTAACCACAAAAAAGGAAATAAACAAAAATATATTGTTGAGGACATCTGACTACTGCTGTCTTAAGAAGCAATTCAGTATTTGTTAGCTTGACCTCTAGTGTTCTGAGGAGAAATGCAATATCCTTGGAAATTTAGAAGAACTGAATGGAAAGCATATAAGTGAAATTAGTTTGTTATTTCCAAATACATATTGTCAATATATTCTACCAACAGTTCCTTCTGCAGAAGAATATCATAGGTTCTTATCAGAATGCAGTCCACAGATTCAAGAATTTATTTAAATATTAGGTACTCAATGAACACTCCTGAGTACCACCACAAATTAATGATTTCTCAATATTCTACTTTAGAATTTATAGTTGGTCTCTCAATGCGAAGAGGAATAAACAGAATGAAGGACCCTGAATTGACATTACAGAAGGAAACAATGGGGTTAAATTTGTAATCTACTTTTCACCCAAGAGTTCCAAAAGACAACAGTCTTGCTGGGATTAAGAGTACAAGATTTGGGGTCAGAGAGATAGTACAACAGGTAGGGGTACTTGCCTTGCACGCAGCCCATGTGGGTGTGATTCCCAGCATACTATACGTTCCCTCAAACAATACCCTGAGCATCAATTCCCGAGTAATTCCTGAGCACCACCAATTTTGATCAAAGTTTTTAATGTTTATTTTTCACCATTTAACTCTAATTGAGAGCATAACGTAACAACTTGAAAACCCAATACTGAGCAAGTAAATGTCTTAATATTATTATAATACATTAATAGTCAATTTCAATTCCCTGAGTTTTAGAGTAATGATATAATTTGCCAAGCATATTCAAATCTTGCTGACCTTCTACATAAAACTATTCCTGTTAGAAACAGAGTAGTTACCAACAGTGTCTTTACCTTTTTCAGGTTTTTTGACACCTATGTTTTAATAGCTATTCAAATTTGCTGGCAGTTCTCTCTTTCCCAAATATGATCTATTGATTCTCTTCATAAAATCATCTATTCTAAATCATTATGCATAAAGTAAGATGCATTACATAAGAAGAGTTAAGACAGAAAGAACATATATAATTAGTAATATAGTTTCAGTGGCTTCTCATTTAAAAACTTTTTAGCAATCTTTAAAACCTTTACTGAAACAAAAATAAAATTTTGAATCTTTCACGGTGTAGAGAAAATGGAGTGAATAAATAGAGGAAAGAGAGTGAATACAGAATAAATTTTATTTATTTACTATATGGACAGTAACCTGTCCATATAGTTTTATCTAGATCTATTATAAAATGAAGAGAATTACATCAGAGCAGGATGAGATGCTATCATGATAGTAGTCCTATTCCTCACAGTGAAAACACTGTGAACGTGTTGTCATGTTTCAATGAAATTAGATAACAAAGGCAAAGGTAAAAAAAAAAAAACTACTGTAGATCTAAATCTTCTAAGTAAAAGGAAAGACAATAAAAATTTCAAATCTGTTTTCAAATGCTACAAAAATATCAGGGAAAGGAGATATAGTCTGAAGGGGTGGAACACAAACTCTGTACACACCAGGGTCTCAAGTGCAACAAAACAACTTAACTCCAACCCACAGTTCACCACAGGCAGTGTGGTCACTAAGTACCAGAGGACAGGAGCAGCACTGCCTCATCAGGCAACAGCACCCAATTCTCAGGCCCATTCACTAGGTTGAATAGAGCATGAAGTGGCTCCTACACCCTAGCACTACTGGAAAGACCCTGTTAAAAGACAAACACAACAACAACAAACAGGCACTGGAGAGAAGAGTACCAAGGCCAAGTACGCACATCCCACTGACATGAATTGAAATCCCAGCCACACAAAGTCTCCCCAAGTACCACCTGAGCACAAGTGTCAGGAATACCCAGGGTCACTGTCACGTGTAGTCCAACACTGCACGCACGGCCCCCTAGCCCCAGCCCGAGCCCCAAATAACAACAAAAACATTTTTAATAAAATAGGAACTACCATTTGTTCACTGGAGGACTCAGAGGGCAAGTACAAAGTCTCTCAGCAGAAACCAGAGGATGTTACCAAGGAACCAATATTTGAATTTCCTTGAGGCACATGGTGAAATGGTTATTTTATCACCCCACTTACTGTCGTTTTAAGACAGCATAGAGATAATGCAGCATTGTGAACTGAACTGCTTTTCAACTTATTGATGTGTTGGGTATTCAATCTCAGTAAAGCACACTGAAGACTATATTGACTGAAACTAAAAGTGGTCATCCCGATTGTAGGAAAAAACTGTGATGCTGGCATGCTGGCACCCGTGCTGCACTGCACTCACTTCTGTCTTCCTTGGTCTTGGCTCTTCCCAGTAGTGTTGTTTCGAGCTGGAGAGAGTATTGTGGGTAGGGCACTTACACTGCAAATAGCGGATTAGGATTTGATTCCTGGCACCCCTTATTGTACCCCAAGTCTCGCCAAAAGTAATTCATGGGTTCAAAGACAGATCTAAATCCTAAGCACAGCTTGGCATGGCCCCCAAAACAAAACTCAAGTGTAGTTTCAATCTTGGATCCTAGGAACTATAAGTTTTATTCTACCTCTGCCACAATACAGAGAACAGGATTCCATTATTTTAAGGCACAACTGAAGTCTTAAACAGCCATCACAACAGGATTTGGAAAATCATTTTGTCTTCTGCCAAAGTAAGTAGATTCTAAGGAAAAGATGTAATGGCTATTTTGACTAGAAAAATTTCCTGTCCTGGGCCAAATATATCCTTTATTAGAGAAATGATCTTATAAAAAAAGTTTTATCATAAAAATATTAGCAAATAGAAAACCTAAATAGGCCCACCTGTTAAAGCCAATTATAATCAGTACAATGAACTCTAACTAGTGACTCTAAAAAATTCTCAACTGGGGAGTCATCTTTAAAGTGGGCTTCCACTCTTCACAAAATGGTGAAAAGGTTAAATTTATCTTTATTCTTGGATCTAACAATTAAACCAAGTTCCTTCAAATTATTTAAAAGAATGCCAACAAAAATTCATATAGCTTTATTAGGTCAAAAGCATTGAAACTCATTTTGTCCTTGAAGTAAGAATAGATGACTGAATTATTTTAACTGCCCTTTTAATATACACTCAAAAATTAGGTACGCTCACAAGCTCACAATGTCTTTTAAACAACCATTAGGCTGAATAGACTTTGAATGTGGTAAGACTGGCAATAATTATAATAATTAAATCCTTTTTCAAAGGCTAAGATTTTCAGTGTTTTTCATTATCCGAGCATTTATACATTAAAATAAAGCACATTTAATAAATTTTCACTCTACAAAACAACCTAAAGGATAGAAATTCAAATTTATATTAGTATTTTTACAAAGAAAATAAACAGATTCAGGAGTTGAATTTAATTTCAGATTCATATTTCCAACCATACAAAGTATCATCCTTACTGATACTTACCAAGAATAAGAAGTTTGAACAATTGAATTTAGAGTCTCAGACACTATATCATGACAACTCGGTAAGCTGGTTAATTCAATTCTTACAAAAATTAATACCACCACAAGGTGATTTAAAAACTATGCAATTGTATAACATTTGAGCCTATTAATCCTCACAACATCCCTGTGAGGTAGGTATAAGGTATGTGGCATTTTTCAAATTTCCAACAAAAGAAGTTAGTAATAGCGATCTTGGAGAATCAGAATAACTGTCTTTCTTAAGAGGTTAACACACTGCTTTATCCAAAACAAACTTCTGTAAAACCAAACCCTCCAGTCCCCCCAAAAATAATCATTGTAGTTTACCAGTAATCTTGTTAAGTCGAGCTCTCTTTGCCTGAAATGAGTTGCCTTGATTATTTTTCCTCTTGTTTGATAATGTGCTCTCTGGCTGTGGAAAGACCATCTTTGGAACGTTCTCTACATGAAGTCCTACTTTTAATAGAATACATATATAAGAATTTATCTATAATCCAAGGTTAAAACATGAAAAAATATTATATTTCTTAAAAAGTGTGTTGCATTTAACTCTTTAATGCGGAGCTTGACACAAAACTTTAAAAACCACAAATCTCTGCAACTGATACTTTAGAAGTGGAGTACAGTGAGCATGTGTTCCTTAGGGGAGAAATGCAGGAAGGAAAATCACTGCTCTTTTCATAATATTTGCTGAAATATATGCAGAAGCACTTAAGGAACTTAGAAAAAAAGAAAAAAGAATCCGCTGCCAAGAAGTTAGAAATAAAATCTTAACTCATTTCTCTTTACAAATATTGTGGGTTTCGACTGTGAAATACCCATCTTACATAATCAATCTTCAGATCTCTCTAAAAGATACTGATAATAGTTAAGCATATTTTGTTAGGGGGGAAATGACTAACACTTCAATTATACATTCAAAATTACAGTAAGGGATTTGACCTATTCACTACCTGAGTTTCCCTTTGCAATAAGAAGTGAACACAAGAACATATTTTGTACCAAACGTTTCACTAGAAGTGGGTAGATCTTCCTTCTTCTCCACTTCTGTTGTGGCTATAGAGCTTGGAGTTTCTTCCTTCTTTGTAGGTACTTTAAACCATTTTCTCTCATCTTTTTCTTTATCTTTATTGCTGTTAGCGCTGGTTCGAGGTTTGTTCCCTGTTTTATTCTTGGCTGCAGCTGCAGCAGCTGCTTTGACTAAAGCTATCCAATCCTCCAAAGGAAAAATACAAAACGTATTTAGTATTAGATTAAATCAAAATTTTATTAAACTAATGAAGAAAAAAGTTTCACATTTTCAAAGCTTTCACTGATATGCAAATATAAAAATATCAAATTATATTCATACAATAGATTAACAACAGACCAATTATATCTAATGGATCATTTGGATTACATACCTTTTCTTAAAACTAGAACATGAATATGCCAATAAGATGTCCCTTAGATATATTTTCACAGAAATAAAGTCTAAAATACCTGATGGAATCTATGACAAATATGTAATGCTGCTAACCGTCTACCTTAATACTTCATGGTTGCTTTGAAAGTTGAATTGTGTATCTTTTCTGTAATACAAAGGACTATAAAAAAGAAAAATTAACTACAAGACAGTGTGAAAGGAGAGAGGAATAAACAAACTATTATGGGAGAACAAAAAAATAAGATTTTGACTAAATGAAGACTAGTAGAGAACAGTGAAAATAATTGGTGAATTGTACTCTGCCGAAACATTTAAGGGCAGAAGGAAAGAATAAAGTATAAATGGATACGCCAAACAAAGGAAAGCATTGAACAAACAGAAGTGAAGGTGCACATGATGGGCAATGAATAGTCAACTAAGTAACTAGTCACGACCAACTTTGAGACTGACAATGAAATAGCAAGGAAGAGTATTACCACTCAAAATAATAGGAATCAATAAAGTAGAAAGAGAAACAAAAATATAATCAGACAAAAGTGCTAAATTCAACACTGACCACATTATTTGCAGTCTTACTAAGAGCAGTAGACTTACTACTGGATTCCAAAAAAGGAGGTGGGGTAGGGAGGGAGTTGGTAACAGAAATGCTGAAAATTTGCCCGGAGTAAAGATTCATATTGTAACTTCTAAGTTCTTTTTTCAAAGAAAACTATTTTAAATATGGAATTCACAGCAGTTGTTTACTTTATAATTTTACTTTTGTTTTAATTAAAAAAATGTTTTGGTCTTTGGCCACACTCAGCAGTGCCCAGGGCTTACTCCTGGCTCTGCCTTCAGGGATCACTCCTGATGGGACTCTGGGTTCCATATGGGGTACCAGGGATCAAACTTGGGTCAGCTGTGTACAAGACAAACACCTTATCTATTGCACTATTGCTGTGTCCACTTTTGTTCTCGTTTAAAAAACATCAGCCATAGCAATGTTGATGGACTTGCTCTGAAAATCTAATAAAAAAATGAATACCAAAAAAATTTATAAATAGTAAAAAACCTAGTGGGTCACCAATCTTTAACACAGAAAAAGGGAAATCTTTTTTTCAGCACATTCCAGAAACGTAAAAAGAATAGAAGAGATAAAGATATACAAAGGTTAGAGAAGTAAACTTCCAGAGTGCGAAAATTTGGTATCTTGGTCTTCGTTAATTCATTAGAAAGATACTACATATCTTTTTATTTCTAAAGTCTATTTTTATACTAAATTCTACTTTTACACTATATATTTTTATACTAAAGTCTACTTTTATAGGTATTCTCAAAGTGTTCAAAATCAAGACGATAAATAATGCAAAGACAATTCTGAGAGAGAATCCTTCCCCAAAATGCTGAATTTAGCATACTTCCTAAAGAAAAACAAATGAAGATTTATTGGGGAATGAAAGAATCATAAAATGAAAACATTTATAGAAAACAATTCTACAAATATTTTTAACATGTTAATAACTAAAAGTTATGATAAACACCATGATTCCAACTCATATGTGGTATAGAGAAACCAAACAAATGAAAGAACTAAATCACAAAGATAAATTTTTAGACTACAAGGCCATAAGACCATATTAATGGTTACTGAAAAGATGGATGGATGTTCATTAATCTGGCAAAGGGGTCAACTGTTTGGTGAAGGACTGAATTAGAATTTTAATGATGAACTTAATGAAGCATAAAAAGATGCTAAATTTTAATGATGTGTACCTGAAACATGTTATAAAGTGACCTCAATAAAAAGTTGAAAGTGCTTTATCGTCTTTCAGTAGTTTGTATTTGGCATTAGTTTAAATGCAATTTACATCATGGTGTAAATAACATACTTAGAAATATTCAATATGCCAATAAATTTTCACTTTGTAATTTTACCACAAACCAAATTGGTTCAGTGTCTCAAATTTGGGGGCTGGGAGGGGAATGGCGTTCAAGTTTTAAGACAAACACTACCTCATGAATAACCAGAATAACCGTTGAATAACCAGAATGATAAAGCAATGGTTTTAAAGCAAAAAATAGTATTTTACTAAATACGTTCATATTATACTTTAGTCTCCAATGCTTTACTCTCTGTGGTAACAAGAAATGACACCACTAGATGATTAAAAGAATACTTTATTTATACATACATGTATATACAAGTAGGAAGACACAAAGCAATTTTGTGACCAAAAATATTTTCATGTTAAATTCCATCAAGGAAAAAGACTACTAGGGGATTATTTCAAAACAAAAATCTTTGAAAACCATATAATTTAAACAACCATCTTTTTGAAGATAACATGAATACTACTTGAAAATGTGGTGCACTGTATTTCCAAATGTATGTACACACACACACACACACACACGCACACACACACATACACAACTGCGGCAAATAAGGTGATTTCAATTCATTTCAGGATGACATTTTCACTGCAGATACAGAACAAATATGTAGCGTATTCCCATATTAGACATTGTTTATAGCTTACTTTCAAATTAATTGTAGGTCCAGGTGCTGAAAATCCCAAATAACAGCAAAACATAAAAGAAAATATTTTCAATTTCTACTGGCACCTTTTCTTTCTAGTATTTCAGAAAACATTTAAATAATGGAATCATGGTTTGAACTTTATCCCAGACTCTCCTTCAAATGCTAATCATTTAATCTAATTTGGAGCAGTGACAGATCAAGTAATACACTGCTTACATCTATATGACTCGGAGAGCCCTACCTTCAACAGCCTACAGAGTGTCAGGTAAGCGCCTTTTAAAAGAAGATTAACGATTGATTTACAGAAGAAAAGAAAAAAGATGAGAAATTCAATATAAAATTTTTCTATTAAAATTAGCTTTCTAAGTGCTACTATATATCAGGAAAACAACAAAATTTTAAAAAGGCACTTACCTCACTTCCCATAGACTGGTTACACGATCCAGCTGGGTCGATAGGACAACACCAGCTTAGTGGATGCTGGGATTTCACCTGGAACAGAAACTAGTAACCTATAACTTTAGCAGGTCTAAAACCGAATAAGCAAAAATTAAGGGTAAAACTTATTTTACATTCTATGCTTCTTTTTCTTGCTGCTATTTGGGGCTATCAGCACATAATCCTACAATTAGTTCACTTTATATATACTTTTTTGATTGTTGACCATTCAGGATGATATCCTTTGAATAGTTAAGAATGCTGAACACTCACTCTTACCTGCCCCTTAGCATCTTCAGGCATGGCTTTAATGTGCATTCTTTTCAAACAACGAATTACTCCGTCATAAAACTGAACTGTAAATGTTCCTGAAATAAGAGCAGATCAAAAACATTAGAATATATAATTCAATAGTAAACCCTAAAATCTAACAAGTAAAGCCTTCATATAAATAAACACTGTGATCACAATAACTGCAAACATCTAGCTTTTTTTTTTTAATAGTTTTTATTAGTGAAACACCATGAGGTACAGTTGTAGATTTACCAATTTTTGTGCTTGGGTTTCGATTATACAATGATCAAATACCCATCACTCCACCAGTGCCCATTCTCCACCACCATGGATCCCAGTATCCCTCCCACCCCCATCCCCCCCATCCCACCCTGCCTCTGTGGCAGGGCATTCCCTTTTGTTCTCTCTCTCCTTTTGGGTGTTGTGGTCTGCAAAAAAGGCATTGAGTGGCAATCATGTTTACTGAAAGTAGATGCATAGTCTACTCTCAACATGCATCTCCCATCCCAGGAGGATCCTCCCAACACCCTTTATTTGGTGCTCCCTCCTCTATCTGAGCTGCCCTTTCCCCTAGAATGGCTGGCTGGCCTCTAAACCATGAAGTAATCCTCCTGGTACTGATCACGGCTATTCTTGGGTATTAATCTCCTATTTTGTTACTTTATGTCCCCCAGATGAATGCAATTTTTTTAAATGTCTATCCCTCTCTGACTCATTTCACTTAGCATGATACTTTCCATGTAGTACCATTTGTATGTAAATTTCATGACATCATCTTTTCTAACAGCCACATAGTACGCCATTGTGTAGATGTACCAAAGTTTCTTTAACCAGTCATCTGTTCTTGGGCATTCAGGTTACATCTACCTCTCTTAAGAGTATATCTGTATTAAGTTTACTTTTCTCTAAAAAACAATTCTGATTTCCCTTTAAAAGTATACAGATTAAGTCTTGCTTTTAAATGCGATTTTGACTTTTTCTGAAAATTTTTTGAAGTTTATAACTGACATATCTGATTTGAATGTCCAATCGATACAGCATATTCACTACGTATGTGAAGTCCTAAATCTGATCCTGGGCACATGGTCCTTAATGCACTACTGAAGATAGCCCCGGTGGCTCCTAACCACATCTAGAAGTGGTTCCAAAAAAAAAAAATGTAAAAAGATCTCAAATACATATTACTATGGTCTGGAGAGAGACCCAGCAGTGGGGCTTTGCCTTGCGCGCAGCCAGCCCAGCCGAGCTGGGGTTGATTCCTCTGCCCCTCTCGGAGAGCCCAGCAAGCTAACAAGAGTATCTTGCCCCCACAGCAAAGCCTAGCAAGCTACCCATGATGTATTCAATATGCCAAACACAGTAACAAACAAGTATCAAAATGGAGCCGTTACTAGGCCCACTGGAGCAAATCTATGAACAATGCTACATATTACCATATCACTGTCATTTGTTGTTCATCGATTTACTCGAGCAGGTGCCAGTAATATCTCCATTCGCCCCAGTCCTGAGATTTTAGCAGCCTCTTCCTTCCTTGTCTTTCCCAACGCTGCCGTATTGGAGGCTCTTTCAGGGTCAGGGGAATGAGACCCGTTATTCTTACTGTTTTTGGCATATCGGATATGCCACGGGTAGCTTGCCAGGCTCTGCCATGCTCAAATACATGACTGATAAAATGTCATCATTTACAGAAATGTCTACTTGTACTGAAAACATGTACTCTCTTTGAATTTTCTCTCCAAGTAAATAACAAATATCTGAAAGAGGAGAAACTATTTTGTCAGGAAAAGGTTATTTGTTTGGAAATATTAATGAACTGGCAAATAAAAATTATGGATTTATAGGCTATTAAGCTTGAAAACACTTTAGAGATTATCTAGGTAACTTTTGCTGATTAGAATGTGGAGGCTAAGTGCTAAAAAATCCAATGACAGATACTCAGCTAAAGCAGCAATAGAGACAAACCTAATGCTCCAGTCTCCAGGTAACCTTGCCTATCATCCCATCCTGCTTGGATGATTCAAGATTCTGTTTGCATGACAACTGCAAAACAATCTTCTTTAACTGCATGTGTGAGGCCCTAAATATGATCCTGGACACATGGTCCTTAAAGCACTGCTGAAGGTAACCTCGGTGGCTCCTAACCACATCATCGATGCTACATTTTCAAGTCAAGAAAAATTACAGTGATTTTTACACTTATGGAAATTGCAATGTATTTCTAAAATCTCCTATTAAATGACAATAAAGTGCCACTTTAAGACATTTGACCTTTACAAATAAATATAAAGGTAAAGGCCCTCCCGTTAATCGTCGATTTGCTCGAGCAGGCCCAGTAACGTCTCCATTGGAGACTTTGTTGTTACTGTGTCTGGCATATTGAATACTCGGTAGCTTGCCGGGCTCTCCGAGAGGGGCAGAGGAATCGAACTCGGGTCGGCCATGTTGGCCGCTTGTAAGGCGAACACCCTACCACTGTGCTATAACCAATGAAAGTGATGTTGTCTTTGAAGCTAGCATCAACATCAATGACAAATGTTCAAAGATTGTCCTTTTTTAAAATGTAATACCACTGACACATATCTGATCACAATATCATATACACAAAGACCTAAACTCATTTCTAAAATACTGTAAACTGAATGAACAAGGATGTGAAGACATTTAAAAATTTTGCGTGTGTACAGATGCATCACACTACCATCATTCCTTGTCCTCTTCTTTCTTCAACGTGCCTTCCAGACAAGGATATTTCAGGTTCCTCACTACAAGTGTGCATTCATCTCCTCCTGATATGGCTTATACTGTGCTGTTCTTCAGGTCGATGCCTTCTCCTTTCCTAATTCTAGTTTACTAACAGCTCTTTTCAAATTCTTCCTTTGCCCCTTTCCTTCTACTTTTATGAGCATACTACAAATGTGCATATTAACATGTTGATACTTCTTAGTTTTGGTTAGCTTACTCAGCAAACATAAGGCTCCCTGTGATATTTTTTCCATTTTGTATGCTGCGGGGAGCACAGAGGGGATTATGGCAAGTGTGAAGAGAACGGGGAAGGTTAAAACACCACACTGTGCATATAGAAATCACCAATTCTTACAGTGGAGACTTTTTAAAAATAAGCTATATTTATCAATAGTTAAGGGAACACTCAAACTATTCCTGATATTACTTACACACCATTATTACAATAACATAAAGCTTAATTTGCTACGGGCAAATGTGAACATACAAGTTTGGCCTTGAGAGTATCAAGCAAGCAGCTATATATGTATAACTCCAAGGAGCAGTAGTATGGATGGAAGGTTCCAAAGTATACAATACTTAAACTGATCTTAGGTGGTTGGAGAGAAAGTCTGGTAGGTAGAGTGTTTGCCTTGCACTGGCCAACACAGGCTCTGATTTCTGGCACCTCATATGATCCCCCAATCTGGCCAGGAATGACTCATTAGTGCAGAACAGGAGTGAGTCCTGAGTACTGCCCAGTGTGGCCCCAAACAAGACAAACCAAAAGAAAAAAAATTCCCTAAATTAATTTTAGTTAAAATAATTTTTTTCTGTTTTAGGTGGATTCAAATGCTATGCACGAGAGTTACTCCTGACTCATGAACTCAGGAATTACTCCTGGTGGTGCTTGGGATGCTGGGAATTGAACACAGGTCGGCTGCATGCAAGGCAAATGCCCTACCCGCTATGCTATCATGCCAGCCCACTCATTCCACAAACTCTTACTGAGGACTCTGAACTAGACATAAGTGGAGAGCTAATGTTAAGCAAGATACTGGAATATGAATTCTGGTTGAGACAAAAGGATAACTCTCAAACTTAACTCATGAAATATACCTCAACTCTTCCTGAAATAAACGAGCAGCAATAAACTCATGTCATTGTATTAACTTACTACTACACTGGTAAAGGTCTTTGTAAAGATCTATAACAATTTCTAAGTAGGCAATTACGATTTTATGCTTCACACCTGGTAATCTTTGTTAAATCTCTTTTCAAATGTTTGTAGTCCTCTATATTCTATTACCAATTTTTTTCTCATTGTTCTTTAAATCCCTTCCATGATTCCCACTAACCGCCAAATAAAAACCAAACTCGTTAGCAAGATTACAAGATACTTCTAATACTTTGCTTAATTCCACCTTCTTCTCCTCCTAGTCTACCTCTTTTAAAGAAGTCTTTTTCCCTCAAATCATATGAATGTTTGATGTTCCTTAAATAGTAGCATGCTTCTCTTCTATTCTGCTGCATATACCATTTCTTCTGCTGAAAAATGCACTTTGGCTAACTTCTTTGTCTTTGGGGACACAGTTTAAAGGAAACATACCCTAATTAAGTTAAAAAGCCTTCATGTACAGAAACTCAATGTGCATTAATTTAGTTAAAAACAAGTGGTTGAGTTGAAGAAATAATTGTAAAAGAAAACTAAATAGATATTCGCAAGTATTTCACAACCACTATGAATAGGAAATGTATATAATAGGGCCCAGGAATTCAGGTAAATTGCCTTACACACAGGCAACTCTAGTTCAATCCCCAGCACCACTTAAGGTCATTCCCCTGAGTACCATCAGAAGTGATTAGTGAGTGCAGAGTCAGTCATAAACCCTCAGAAGCCTTGGGTGGAGCCCAAATAAAAAAATAAACAAATTTAAAAATTATTAAATAAAACAGGTAAATTAAAGATCTGAATTTCATTTCTTTCCAGATAAATGTGTAACTTGCATTTAATCTTTTAAATGTTTTTGTTCAGATTTACTAGTGTTATGCCACACTGGTATTTTTGATCTGCATTAAACGTTTCTAATTACTTCAATAACTTGTTTTCAATAATATACTAGAAACCACAAAAGCCTATTAGAAAAAATTAACTTTCAAGACTGGAGAGATAGTACAGAGACTAAGACTGATACCCAGCACCACATATGGTACCGTGAGCACTGCCAGGAGTGATCCCTGAGCAAAGAGCCACAAGTAAGACCTAAGAATAGTACTTGTGGCCCCAAATCCAAGGAGGCCTACCTCCTCCTACTGGCCTACTTCTTTTTCAGAAAAAAAAAATGAACTTTTATCTGTGGGGATTAAGAAAAAAGGGACAGGGCCAAAGTAATTAAGGAAATCCTCAAATTCCATATTCAAATTTCATATTCTCATCACTTCTCGGCCTTTTGGCTAAGGTCAAATGTAGTATCTGGTCTTATCAAATTCTCATCCTTTCTTAGAAAATACTGTACAATATTTCACATGCAAGTTGAAACAGATTTGAATTTTCCTACTTAGACTTTCCTCTCACTTACATTGAAATGTTTACAACATTTTCTTAGCCAACAAACTGGATACAGAGAAAACAGAAATAAATGCATATAATATCAATCTGAATGAAAAGCTAAAAAATTTTTACTATTTATCTCTATTAGTATAACATGTATATATCATGTAATCACATTCTTTATAATATTAAATACTACAATAAATTAGAAGGAAATTCATAAGCATAAATAAAGAAGACCAAGGAGGTGATTCGAGTGAAAGACCATATACATCTGTGAGGCCCTCCCTGGCTTTGATCTCTGGCACCAATGACCCCCTGAACAATGTAAGTAGTGGCCATAGTGGACCTCTTAGAGTGGCCATGTACCCTGAGAACTGTTGGGTGTCGAGCCCATAACCAATTAAAGAGAGAGAGAGAGGTGGAGGGGTAAGAGGGACAGAGAGAAGTGACTGCTCTATTAACATTTACCAGCTGTAATTAACATTAGGAATATGGTTAAATGTTACTTTAAATCCCATTTTAAGTCTTTCAACATTTCAAATACATACCTTCTTTGTTAATTGCTTCAATCTTGGCAGGATAATATCGACAGTCTGTCCAACGAGCCAGAACTTCTTCTCCAGCTTTAAAATCCTATTTTAAACAACTTTTAAGATCAATACCATTTAAAATAAATACACATTTCCATAATAGAAGTTTTTAATAAAAATCAAACAGAATTCTTCTTAAAATATACCAATAAAATAGTTGGCAAACGAAAAAGCTTACTACTTACAAAGAAATCTTCCTCATCTTTTAGCCCTTCCTTTCTCAAGGAAGGTCTTTCAAGGGGTCGCAATCTATTGCTATCCCAGTAAATCCACTCATCATAACGATGACTCCAGCGCTCAAAATGGACCAACATCTTGCCCTCCTCATAGTCAATTTTTTCAATTCGTGATGGATACCTCAAAAGTAAAAAGGAACATCACATGAAGGAAAAGTTCTTATATTTTTATACAAAATATTAAAAGCACTTCACTGAATTACTGCTTACCACTAAAAACCAAAACAATATGAATTCATAATTATAAACCATCAACCAATTTTTTTCTTTTGGTCTCTTAAAAATAGAATGTTCTCAGAACTTAATAAACATTTTGATGTACTCCAAGTGGAAATCTAAATTACCAGTTTGGGTAATGTCATAACATGTATCAAGAGTCTTATAAATATTTATTTTTTTAAATGTAAGAGTACTGCTCAGTCAAACACACTGCAACCTATCAGACGATGGAACTTCTGTATATTCTCTTCTTTCTCCTTAGCTTGAAGCTGCCCTTCCCTTCTTTTATGTACTCTTTCAAATCTTGGTCTATGGAAGAAATTTTCAAATTGATTTGGTCAACTCAACACCTTCTTTACCTTCATTCAGTAACCAAAGTGCCCTCCAATGGTACCCAAGGTTACAAACCTCATTTTTCAGTGGCTGGTGTCACCCCTTTAAGAAATATTACCTTAAGGTATACCTCCCACCACCCCTATTAGTCTTGCTGTACTCTATTTCTTCGACTATCATTCACTGTACAAGAGCACACATTGTGCTACAGAACTGCATTTCTCATCAGATGACCCCTGTGAAGCACAGAAATTCCAAGAAGGCCACAAGTAAATACCAAGCAAATAGGGGGTGACGGTATAAGACTAGAAGGCCAATGGTAATAGCAGGATAGGGTTGGGGGGAGAGTTAGTCACAGAAAGGAAACAAGATTGAAAGGAGGCCAAGGTCAGAAAAGGCCGAGAAACACTACTGCATACCAGTCAACAGTTTTGATTCTAATTCAAGTGACACTCAAAAAAGTCCTATAGTGAAACAAGCTCAAAATACATTGGACTTTTTCAAAGTTTAACTTCCTAAAACTGAAAGCCTTCTTGGTGACTACCATCAAAAAGATGGAAATCAAGCATTCACTATTATTACTCTATAAACCTTTTATGACAATATATTCATTATGCTTCTCAATAGAAAAGCAAGAAGCATGGTATTAGTATGCATATCCTGATTTGTGAGCTTTGGCTTATAACTAAGTCAAGCTGATCTCTGAATCTCTAGCACGCAGCAGTGACAGAGGTATACCAGCCACTCAGAATACTTGAGATATATTAAATATATCTATTTCTTCAGAACTTAGGGGACTAGTAACCTGAGTATATAATTTTATATGATTTTATTATTTTTTTAAATTTTGTTCTGGGCCACACCTCACGATGCTCAGGGGTTTGTCTGGGCTCTGTGCTCAGGAATTACTACTGGTGTTGCTAAGGGGACCCCACGGAATGCCAAATACTACCCAGATCAGCTGTGTACAAGGAAACCACCCTACCACTGTTCTATTACTCCAGTCCTACAAAAACTTATTCCTAAATCTCTTAAGGCAAGCAACTGTGGGTAAGAAAAAAAATGGTGCAAAACATAAAAAAGAAAAAAAACAAAGGGATTAGCGTACTCTGTAATTGACACACCAGAGTCCTTCATTCAGAATGGTTATTTTTGTTGCTTTGATTGTTGAAAACATAAAATTAATCAGCTTAAGTGAAGCCAAGAAATAAATTTGTCCTTTGAGTTTTTGGGGTTCTCTTGGTTTGGATTTTGATATCATGTATCCACAACCCTAGTTTTTTATTATCATGCCATTTTACTATCAAGATATTTTCTATCAATTATAAAAAAAACTAGGGCTGAAGAAATACAGTAAAGAAAGCAAGGCACTAGGATTGCATGCAGCTGACCCTAATTCAAGTACCTAGCACCACATATGGCATTTTGAGCACAGCAGGTAGGGGGTACTTCTGAGTAGAACCAGGCATAGCCCTGAGCACACAGGGCATGGCCCAGCCCCTCCCCCCCAAGTAAAGTTTAATTCATAAAGCCCTCCCCAAATGGAAGACCTTTTAATTTCCTTTATTATCTCATCTTTTGAACAAAAAAATTAAGGATTTTCCTGGTTTTGTCTTCAAGATAGTTTTTACTAAATGAAATTTAAGCAGAAAGATCTGACTGGAAAGAAAGTAACATTTTCAAGAGAGAACATGGACTTCAGCAAGTCAGTAAAAATAGTTGTTCAAAGAAGAATGAAGGCTTTAAAAAGTAAGCCTGAAGAGTTTATTTTCTAGATATTTTCAAATTTTAATGTACACAGCCCCATACATGTAAAGTATTTCTCAAAGCAGAAACAATCTACATGAAACAGATTTATAGGTTTACTATGATTTGCATAATTCAAATAATCCCTTTTCATTAACATGATTCAATTCAATAATGCATCAAAATCTAAGTTCAAAAAATTTGAATCAGCATTGTATTTTTCCATTTTTTCAAAATTATTTCTAATTCTATTGACTGATAGGATGGCTGATGCAACAACCAAACTAAAACACTACATCTGAAGAAACTTCTTCAAGATAATTTGCAATGTTACATATGTTACATAAATATATGGAAATATCAGATAAAAACTAGGAATTAAAAGAACAAAAAATATCCAAGATTATCATCAATTTTAATTTTAAAGTATACTAATACATTTTTAATCTTAATAAAGTTAGTATAAGTATTACCATTATTTAAAAAGTTTGTATTTCTATTCACTTATGCAATATGTACTTTAATATGTAAGACAAGGAACAGCTGCTTTGTTCGTTTGCTAAGTCAAAAATAAAACAAACACTAAGCCTAATTGCAAAGAGCTTAATTTAAAAGAATCAGAAGATATCTTGTGTGTCACTTGTCTATCAACTTCTATGTTCTTTTCTTACTGAAGGTTAATTCCTCTCTCAATGTACGTACTTCATCTCATTAAATTCTGGCAACCATTGCAGGTATAGAAAATATAGTCCCCATTTAACAGATGAAGACTGTCCAAGATACATGTGGCAGAGTAAATTTATTGGCACAAAATCCTAGTAAAGAAATGGAATAAACTTGAATCAAAGTAATTATCCAACATGACAAATTGGCAAGCATATAAAAATCTTACATACGATGCTCCTAAAATTTCAGAGAAAATTAGGGAGTTTACTGATGAGGATGATGGCGGTGATTTCTAGGATTTGGAATTAATATAGCAAAAATATAAAGTATATGCACAGAACACAATTCATTTATTAAACTCGTTCATTTTCTTAAAACCTTATAAACTCAGTAAGGTTAGTCAGCAAGTCAGATAATGAGGATTCGGAGACAAGCAGGATATAATTTATATCTTCAAGGATCACATGCTCAGACTTAATTAAGATAAAAAAATGAGAATAGTGAGATAGGTACACACCAAAGAATTTTGAAATCGCAAACTCACAACAAAATGAAACTTTATTCTACAAAGAACAGGGAATTCCATAAACTTCGCATTTAATTTCAGCAGAGGAGGGGGAATCTGAACATCAAGATCTTTGTTATATATGTAAAACTGGCCATTTAACATACACTTTTCACAGTAAAATGATTTATCTGTTCTGGCAGCTGATCCACAGTAAATATGCTTTCACAAAGAGATAAAAGCAGTATTAAGCAAATGTATTTTATTATGAGTATTACAAGAATGTAAGATTTCTCTTACTGAATTTGAAAGATATGATAATACTTTTATTACTAACATGAAAATCTATTTAAAACAGACTTCAAAGGCAATCTTGTTGAAAAAACATCATAAACACACTTCAAGTCAGGAAATTAGAAAGAGAAAGCAGGATTATTTCCAAGAAATCAACACCAATTCACTACAGGTTGTCAGCACATAAATATACCCAACAGATTATTTAAGTATCACTAAATCTCCTTTTACAATTCTAAGACATCTGATAATTTTGGAGCACTTGGGTTACATCTTTAGTGGACAAGGTAATTACATCTGGGACAATTCTGCTTTCATCTATAAATATTGCATTGCCTCTTTTTTTTTTTTTTTTTTTTTTTTTTGCTTTTTTGGTCATACTCAGAGATGTTCAGGGTTACTCCTGGTTCTGCACTCAGGAACTATTCCTGGCAATACAATACTCAAGGAACCATATGGGATGCCAGGTACTGAACCCGGGTCAGCCACATGCAAGGCAAATACCTTACTGAACTATCATTCTGGCATTTAAAGAGTAGTAGGAATAGTTGTTGGGACACTATATGACTGAAATACAATCACAAAAAGCTTTGTAACTGTATCACGATGATTCAAAACAAGAATTAAAAGAGTTTATAGATTATAATTATTCACTTTGATTTGTATAGCATCTCAAGTTCCTGATTATATTTAACAGAGTGACTCTGAATTAAAAACTAAACCATCAATTCCAGCAATTCCTATATAATTCATCAAACTCACTCCTTGGTTCATAGATTTACAACAGAAGAATTAAGGATTCTTTGTAAAAGTAACTGTCTTATTATTTCCATCATTAATTCCTTCAATGAGCAATGAGATGACAAGTGATACAAGTGATACAATTCCTTCCACTCAAAATTTTTATTTTTACTTTTCTTTATTGAATCATCGTAAGATACAAAGGTGTTGGAACATAGTATGACTACAATCCAATCATCAATACTTTTGTCTTTTTTCCCCTGAATCAAGAAAAGCATCTAGAATAATGCTCAGTCAAAAACATTTATGAATATTACAGGAAAAAATCTGAGAAGTGAGAATAGGTTTTGAATTAGAAAACTAGGAATAAATAAATACCATATAGGGCATCCCATGAAGTCTCAAAAGAACCAAACACACCACGAGGATTCCTGATTTCTCAAAACCAAATTCTACATAACATTCTAACTCCTTAAATTACATGTTACTATCTCCCAGATAACAATTCCACTTACAAATGCTTGCATTGATTCAGTGACATTACTTGTAGAGAAAGTGATTGCTTCAATTCTCTAGATCTTGCCCTCAAATGCTATCTTTTATTAAAATCCTAAAGT